GGGTCGGACACACTATTGCTGTGCCTCGCTGACTTCACCCTGTAGGTCACTTTCAGCTTGGCTTGAGTGACCCACCTGAGATGAGTCAGGCGTCCCTCCTGCCTGTTCCCATAAGCATATCCTTGCTTACCTGCGGCCGAGCCCTTGCCACAGTGTATTAAAGTGGCTTGTCTCAGGACAGAGAGAGAGCAAGGCCATTCGGTCCCCAGGTCCCAGCAAGTACCAGAGTACACGAAGTATGTGTTGAATCCTGGACAGATAAACCACTTCCTCTTCCTCAAGATTTACAAAGTTACTTCCCAAAGTGCCCTTAACCTTTTTCTGAAAACCTCTGCAGTCTCCTGGCTTTCATTTGCGGAGTCCCCCATGACCCGTTTTCCAAGAGAAGCAAAAGGCCAAGAAGCTGACCAAGGGCTACAGGGAAGCAGAAGACATCACTTCACTGCCAAACAGCTCATGCAACACAGCCGCCGACCATTCTTGGTGTATGAGAAGATGGCCTGGGCACACAGATGAATCAGACAGGCCTCTGTGGACAGAGCGACACACGCACCTGCGGCAAAACACAGCAGGATTCCAGGGGGTCCCAAGGCAAAAAGCAGTGAGTTCTGCCTCACGCAGGGTGGGAACACAGGCGTCACAGGACCCTGGCAGGCTAGGGGCTTTCCAGCCCGAGGCAATGTCTACTTGGCAGGGAGAAGAGCAAGGGTAGGGCAGTGATGTGGTGGGCCTAAAAGATCCACGTTTGATCCGAGAATCTGGCCATCCTAGCAGGAAGCCCCTTGTTCTCGTGGTGGGTAGGGTCCAAACCACCGAGGGCTGCACAGGTTTCTGTCCGAGTGCACAGTGAGGAGAGCTGAAGGGCAATGTGGCCGTGCTCTGGAAGGACTGGGGTGAGGCAGGCCAGCAAGCTCCACATGGCCAGAACAGATCTGCTGGGAGGCCCCGCCCTTCCCTACTCACCAGTGGGAAACGCCTGACCCTTCCCTCTCCTTCAGAGCCAGCTCAAACCCTTCCTCTCCAGCCCTTGAGATTCTTCTTCCTCCAGCCCCCCAGACCCAAGCCGATTTCTGGCTTGCTTTAGTCTGTCTTGACCCTTGATGGCTTGGGCTGTGGTTTTCAAATCCAAGAAGCTTTTGGCACAGCTCTGGCATTCCTGCAAGATGGGCCAAAGCACTTCCACTAACTGGGATGCAGGAGGGCAGCCTAATGGGGCAGAGACTCTGTGTCCTTCCACACATTCCTGCCTGTGAGAATTCTATATGCAAGGGACCTGAAAATCCTGATGAGTCACAGAGAGTTAAGATGATCATAATTGTTAAGAAGGGTGGGGGGGAAAGGAGGGTGGTGGTCATTTGGCACAATGGCTTAAGTTGCCGCTGAAGTCGCCTGGTTTGCATCCCAGCTACTTGACTTCCCATTCATCTTCCTGCTAATGTCAACCCTGGGAGGTAGCAAATGGGACCCAGGCACTTGGGTGGTCCCTGCCGCCCATGTGGGCGACCCAGATGGAGTTCTGAGTCCCCTTCTCCCACCTGGCCCAGGCCTGGCTCTTGTGTTTCTCGGGGAGTGAACCAATGGAAGGTCTTGCTCTGTCTTTCAAATACAATGGTAAGTAAATAAACAAAAGCAAGTGTAAACAAAGATGAAACCCTGTCAATGATTGGCATGATGGATTCCATGAAGCATCCTGGTTTGTCTGGTTTATTTTTAAATGCATCAAAACGGACGACGATGCCAGGGATGGGCAGCAGGACATGTGGTGGGGACAGGACAAAGTAGGGAGAGTAGGGGTGAATGGCAGTCTAGAAGGTGGGTGCACAAATGATCACTGTAACATTCTCCCAGCTTTTCTGTACCTTAGAAAACGTTCAAAATCAAACATTGAAAAGCCACACAAGTAATACAAGTCATTCAGCAAGTCTGTCTGCAGCTGACCCACTGGTCTTTCTCCTTGAAGGCGTCCTATGTTCCCAGGGGTTCTGGCTTAGATGTGACTCCCAGGAAGCCCTGCCCCAGAGGCTGCCTGCATGCAGACTGCCTGGGACCGGGAGGTGGCTGCTCCACGCCTATCCCATACACGGCCCTCCACACACCTCTATGAACGCCAAGCCCAGCCCTGTCTGCCGTCATGAGGGCGCCCTGCAAGGAGCCAGGTCCACAGGCAGATGCTCGGTGACACTGGACCTTCTGGAGAGATCGGAGACCAGTCCCGCGCAGTGCTTTTTCCATCTCAGGTGGCCCACTCCACACGCCCATGCCACCCTCCGCATCGGCTCCTTACCTGTGCGGGCCCGGCCCTCGCCCAGTCCCCAGTCCCGCGCCTCGCCCTCGCCCCCGCCCCATTCCTCTCCCGAGCACCGCTCACTCGCCCAGCAGCTCTTCTCTGCCCCCAGCCAGCGGAGTCCCTTTTCCCGCCCAGCCCTCAGGGCTCAGGCCCCCACCCCTCGCGTCCTTCCGCACCGATTTTGCCGGGCGGGGCGTCTCCGCCTGCAGCGGTCGCGGCGAGCAGCGCGGCCAGCGCGGAGAGGAGCGGCCCAGCTTGGGCCATGGCGGGTGGCGTCCGGGACAGCGCGCGGGGGCTCGGCCGCTTGCGGGTTGGCGCTCGGCTCACCGCCCGCCCAGGCGCCCCACTGGCCGTTCCGCCTTCCAGCCTCTCTGGTCCCAGGCTTTTATTGGCTCAACGGCCGTCCTTCTCCAGGACGAGGCCCTCATTAGCTACATCTCTCTCGGGGCAGGCTCTCTCATTGGCAGCTTCCCCGGCCCGCCTCCTGAATACGGCTTCCTCATTGGCGGGCCGATCCTTGCTCGGGCGCAGGTGTGCGCGCCTCGGCGGCGCCTCAGCATCAGGACCAGGGCCCCAATGCAGTTAATGGTTGCATGGGAAGGAACAGAAGGCCAACTTCGGAGAGTTAGGAGCTCTGTAATATGCCTTCTCCGGGTTTCTCCGCTTCCGTTTTCGTAAAACAGGCAGAACAATGCCTGCTGAGCTTCCGAGTGGTTGTGACGGTCACGTGAGATAGGGGATGGGAGGCCGTTTTGCAGCGTCTGCACAAACTGGAAATTGCTGACCAAGCTTGCGGTCAGGGCGGCTACACGGCTGCCCTCTGCGTGTGCTGAAGCGAGCCCGCACGGTCTGGATACTGCTGCTATTTATATAGTTTACGTATCTGCCTTCCACTTCTTAAAAAACAAAAGGAGGAGGTCCCACCTGCTCTCTTGTCAGAAAGGAGAAAAGGCAAGGAGATAGGAGTTTCCATTTTCATTCTCTGAGAACAAGGGCAGCTCTGGTCTGTTTTACAACGCTGTACAACCCAGATTTCCTCTGGCAGAGGAACAGGTAGGGGCGAGTTTCAGGATAAATAAAGGAAGTCTTATTTATTCAATGAGATATGGATAAGAGAAGAAACGGAAGGGAAGGGTTTATAGCTGGGGCTCTAAGTTAGCTCTGTGAGTCTTCATAGGGCCAACATGGATGACTGCTAGAAAGGCGATAGATGACTAAGCTTCACAATCTTCAAAAAATATTTTGGGCAATATTTGTGTCAGGATGAAAAATCTTTTCAGTTCATTAGCAAAGACTCAATATTCCCCTATTGTCCTTTGTCAATGACTGTTCACTGATCACTTAATACCAAGGTCTCTTGTGTGTGACGTAATCTGATTCTTGTCATTTTCTGGTGGGACAGATCATATTTAAGATTCCTCTTTTTAAACTCTTGAATCTAGACTTGTTTTTTTCTTCTGTTAGGAAGTCCTTCCAACCCTAGCAGCCCAGAGACCATGTGTAAGCTCTCAAGGTTGTAAGGCAGATTCAAAAGAGCCCGTAAGTGGTGAGGCACACTTACGGTGGCACAGAGGTGCAAAGCAACTGGCAAGACTGGGAATGAGGTTGGGACACTGTATCAATTGTCTGTTGCTGTGTCACAAGCCATCTGACATAGGGCCTTTAAGTAACAATCTATTTATTTAGGCCATAGGCCCGGGTGCAATGAGATCAGCTCATGTGTTCCCTGTAGTTCATTTGGAACTGCTCCACTGAGGGTGGGAGAATCCTTTCAAGATGCCTCACTGGCAGGCAGAGGGTGCTGACCCAGCTGAAACCTCAAACCAGGGCTCTCAGCTCTATGACAGGCCACTTCAGCTTGCTCTTGAGGTGATGGTTAGGGCTCAAGACAGGAAGTGGGCCTGCCAGTTTTAACAGTTCTGAGTCCAGAAACTGTAGTGTCACTTCCACTGTATCCTATTAGACAAGAAATGCAAAAAAGCTCCAAGGACAGGCAAGAAAAACGGACATATGTCCTAACCCCCTATTTAAGTGTCAAGGAATTCTGAAACAGTTTTAAAATCTCTGCAAAGCATCAGACATGGACATTTGAATGGACAGGAATAAGAATATACTAACAAACATCAGGAATACGTGAAACAATGGATTATGGAGCCAGGTTGTGTAGACAAGACTTGAGCAATGATGAAAACGCAAGGCCAAATCTCAGAAAAGGCCAGCTCCAAAGGGCAATTCGGCCAGGAGGCTGAGTATAGGGAAGCCATCTGAGAAGCAGAGGTAAAAACAAAGCCCATCAAAACTTGGGAAGGACATGTGGAAGCTGAAGGTCAGATCAGGGCCACATTCAACAACATGGTTAGGAGATGGTCAAGAGCAGAACAGTGCAAGTATAGTAGTCAACACAGATAAAACAACTAGAATGAAAAGGCAAACACGAGAAAATAAGGCAATGCCAGAGAGGAAGGCAGAAACAAGACTCCAGATCTAAGAAATGCATAGGAATCAGAGAGAGAGAGAGAGGAGTCCAGGAGGTAGAAAAACAGCCAAGACTTCAATACTGAGGCAGAATATGGGACGCCTATACTGCAGCCACTTTGCTGCGCTGCTGTGAGATCTCAGGGTGCCTCCCCGAGCATCCACAGCATTCAGTGAGTGACCATAACATACCAATAATCAACATGAATGAGGAAGACAAAAGACTCAACACCCAGACTGCAGTTATTCCAATTTCAGTTTTATTAAAGTTGTTTCTGGATATTACATTTCATCCTTACATCACCAAATAACTTGTATCAACTTCAAACTGACTGATTCCTTTATGGCAATAAGGAAAGTCAGTAAAAGGTCTGTAGAATCCAAGTACTAAAACACCAACATCCCTCCTAGGTGAGCCACAGCTTCCTTATATACCACCTGCTAGACACTGTCTTCTTGTTTTGTCACCTCAAAATAATTAAGAGCACTAACACAATTTTCTTGTTCAATCTAAAAATGTATGTTCCTTGTGGTGGTTAATTAAAAACAAAACAACCATCCAACCAACCAGAAACCGGAAGGAAAAAAATTCACTGTGAATGATTAGCTTATATGTTTTTTAATAATCATCATTTAACTAGTCTTCCCCTTTCCTTAGACTTTAGGCAGCTACAAAAACACAGTACAATGTACATAACAAAAAAAGGATAAAAATAAATATGAGGGCCTACTGTAGTAGGCAAATGACATATTTCACTTAACCCTCACAGTATCATGAGAGAATTAAAAGCACTCTACAAATAAGGAAACAGGCTCAGAAGACTGAATGACTGGTGCCAGTCACACAGGTAAGTGAGCTGGGATCAGGTTCAAGTGTATGCTGACCACGCCTATGCTCTACTATGCTGCTCTGGCTCCCCCACAGCCCTTCCAGTTGACATTCTGTTGTAGCTTCACCCTCCAATTCTAAACTTAGACTTTTAACTCTGCAAAAGTACTGAATAATAAAAGAACCTAAAATGATTCTTAATCTACTTGCAAAAATAGAAGGTGGAATGGAGTAACAGAAAACACTTTAGGTAATCAGAACATTCCATATCTAAAATTATGGTTAATTCTAATTCACTGGTAATGATTGCTACTGTTCCAAAAACACACATGGGTAATTATAAAGGGCTTTTTCCCCCCTGTTGTCACCATCTGTCAATCTCAAGGAATAAAGGCAAAACAAACAAACAAAAAAAATACAAGACAAATTCTTATTGTGAAATTTGATTGCTCATTCAAATTACAGTATGTACTTTGTGGAATGAAAAAAAAGATTCTGGTTTTATAATCTTACTACCAGTCTTTTGATTGCCTTTTAAGAGTATCTAAATGTGAAGATGGAGATGGTAGGGCTCACAAGGGCACGGCTTTATTATATAGGGCTAATGTGGTATCTTCGAATGGGGATATTGGGGCTCAGGACACACTATCCCAAATACTCTTAAAAAAAAAACCAGAATGTGGCACCCCAAAATATCCGTCTTTGGTATATTTAAAGCTGATAATTTTGACAAAAACTGGACACAGGTATCCAAAAAAGGAGGAAATTTATACCTATAAGGGAAACCTAAATTAGCATAAATAATAAATAGGAAGAGGATGGCTCCAGATAATCTGTATTAGACTTTAACTGGGTGATTTCCTCCATTCATTTCCTCCTCTCACCACCCTGCTCAGCCCCTGTTCCTGTCTGTAGTTCAGGATGCTGCAAGCTTCAACTGTGTGACCCTTCCTCAAGACTAATTCTCTGGAACTCTTGGGTATATATAATTAAACATGGAGTTTTCCTCTGTTAATCAGCCTTATGTCAATTTAATTAACATCTTAGCCAAAGAACCTAAAGTGTGGAAGGGTGCCATTTTTCACTTCACAGTGGAAGTTGATTTATATTATAGGTAACTAACTGAAGCCTAAACCTTTGCAATCTTAGCATCTAACAATTATCTACTGGGGACATATTTGGAAGTTCCTTAATATTAAATGATTGACATTAACATAGTTTCTTATTCAAATTCTCACTGAAATTTCATCACTAGTTTTTTTTTTTTTTTTTACTTCAGGTCCAGTCCTAAAGACTATCATACGTTAGAAGCAGAAAGTATGAAATTAGATTAAGGCCTCTTTTAACATAAATACCCATGATTTCTAAAGTCTGACGTAGCATTCTTTCACTCATTTATTGGACAAATCCTTTACAGAATATGACTATAAGCAGGGTTGAAAAACAAACAAAAAATAAACACACAGGTCCATTAACTCTAGTATGTTAATACATAAAAAGGGAGCTAGGTGCTTACATAAATGTGACCTAAGATACGAAAGCTAGGAGTAAAGCTTGTCAGTGGAACAGAGGTAGTGATGTGTGAGTATCAAATCAAAAAATTCAGCATCACTAAATGAAATGAGAGGTTGTGGGAGCCCAACATTTTGGTCCTGCTCGCTTGCCCAATAATCTCATAAAGAATCAGAAGGCAAATCTGACAAAGGGGCAAATGAGTCATGGCTGGCAGAGCAACAAGCTGTAGGTAAACTGCCTATGTAGATCCATTTAGGTAATGACTTGTTGGTGCTACCTTAGTTTTCCTGGATTATATAGCTCAGGAGGCTGAAAATAATTTGAAGATAACTTGGAACAAATAAAGCACAAGGTTTCCTGGCCATCCTTGCTTGAAAGGGTCCTGGGTATCAGATTTCTTCCATGATCCCTGCCTCCCATGTCTGCCTGTGCCTTTAGCTCCTGCAAGTGGGAGTCAGAAAGGAGTGGGCTGGGACAATGATGTGAGCGTGAAAACATACCTGGCAGGGACTACAAGGATGAAGGATGACTGACAGGAAAATAATACAACAAAAAAGGGCAGGAAATCAAAAATCTGTATGTATGAGAATCAACCCAAATGATAAACTTACAATTATGAAGCTTTATCATCTAAGCACCCGCGTGTTCAACCAATCCCTAGTTTCCCTTTTCAAAAAAACACCAGCTGCTATACAATTTCCGTTACAGGGAACATTAGGAAAGAATGTTTAGTTGAAACTACAGTTATAAGGATTTTGGATTCAAAGTCATCAGAGTACCAATTTAAAAATAATTTTCGTAAACATATTCTGACAAAGGTTGTAGGAACACTTGTCACATTGTTCAAATGCCCAACGGCAAGACTTCTGATGAGACCGAACAGGTCGCATTAAATCAAAAGACTATCTGAGAAATAAAGCCAATATGACTAAATCCAAAACAGATCACATGAAGTACCTCATGTACAATACAAACCTAGTTTAATAAATAAGGAAACAAAGGTGGCTGCGCTCTGGGAGAACATGCAGTTCCTTGATGGCCCATTTATAGTCTTCTCTGAGACTCCACTGCCACTTCTACCTGGGCAAGTCTAATGGTGCGACCATGAAGTTTGTAGCCATCTTGTCTTACTAATGCCACCGTGCCAGGCTGCACCCCAACACCAGCTGGCACGTGACAGATGAGTTCATGCTCATGAGGGTCGTATTTATCACCGATGGGTGCCATCTTCTCCAGGCCATGCTTGGCAAACACACTTTTCAGCTTTGCTTCTAGGAGTGACAGCCCCCGAAAGACCTTCTCCAGAATGAGTGTCTGGTCCCCAGACTCTGTTTCTTCAGAAATGCACTCAGTAGTCTTCTCCAAAATGTCCGCCACCTCCACCAAGTCCTTACAGAAACTCTGGATTCCTACAGAGAAACCAGTTACTTTCATTGTTTGGGAGGAAAGCACTCTGCCCTTGGCAGTGGAGTTTAGGGAACACCTAGAGATTAAAGTGGTACATGTATATGAGGTACCACAGAAAGTGGGAAAGGGCCATACTTACTGGAGTTCATAATCAAGTACCACCAATCCACTTGACAAGTCTGTGTGGTTAGAACCCAATACTATATAATGCTATATACAAAAGGCTCAAAAATTTGCCCTTTTAAAATAACTATTTTTATTGCTTTCACCTTTAGCTTTGTGTACATGGTTAATCTTCCTGCCTATCTCATTGTGGTAAGGCATACATTTTCAACAGGGACAAGATAATAGTTTTTCATGGCGTATGGGGTGGGGGTGGGGGAGTATACTCTGCTATGGGATGTCCAGAGTGGCTTATTCTTGTGGACTGGCTAAATGGGAATAACAAAGTTAACACATATCCACAGACGAGGTAAGTTTCAACTGCCTACTATGAGGTTGCAGGAGATGGGCCACAAAACGGGTCTCATCTTTTACAGTCCCAAGAAGTATCACAAAAGCAAAGTAAACTTGGTTGCTGAGAATCCTGTTACTTCCAATTCTGCAACTTGATCTTCTTTTAAAGAAATCAGGATAAGGAATGTCATCATCAGAGATGTCTACAACATGATACGCAAAGTTTTGGATAGGGTGGTAAAGGGCAAGCAAGGGCTTGTTAATGTGGTGTTAATCCAGAAAGGGGGCGAAATGAGCATTTACAGTTTGCGAAACTGAAAGGCATTTTTATTGTGAATAGATCTCTTACCAAATATCTTGGCATCTTCCACACATCTCTGGGTCCGCCTCCTTATGTTTTCACAGTCAGCCACAGCTCTCTGGTATCTTATCTGAAGATCAAAAGCAAAGTCAAAAGGATGAGAAAACAAATACTTACTGATTTGCTTACTATACACATGTCACTCTTGTAGGTTTCTATAAAACAGAGGAGCTGGCTTTCTTTTTCCTATTCAGGCAACCTTGTCAACATTCTTTTATTGAACTGAACTCTAGGACAACCGAGCAATTTCAAAGCATGTCATCTATTTGGAGGTAGTTATTTTACCTCCTTTAGTCCTTTTCTTTTTCATTTCTGCAATTCCTGGTTCCTTCAACGCTCTTTTTTTTTAATATTTATTTATTTGAAAAGCAGAATTACAGAGAAGTAAAAGCAAAGAGAGAGAGTGGTCTTCCATCCGCTGGTTCACTCCTCAGATGACTGCAAAGGCCAGAGCTGCACCGATCCGAAGCCAGGAGCTTCTTCTGGGTCTCCCACGTGGGTTCAGGGGCCCAAGGACTTGGGCCATCTTCTACTGCTTTCCCATGCCACAGCAAAGAGACAGATCGGAAGTGGAGCAGCCGGGACTCAAACCTGCGCCCATATGGGTGCTGGCACTGCAGGTGGCAGCTTTACCTGCTATGCCACAGTGCCAGCCCCTCAACTGCTCTTATATGTTTTCCACCTTCCTTCCTACTCTGGGAGGACTTGCTTTGGCAAGGACTCCGGTTTCTCTAATTCCTCAGAGTGTATCTGTCAACCAAGGACTGGGTCCAATATGCTAGATGAAGTTTGAGTGGCAGAGTGCAACGTTCAGTGACCTCACTCACTCAACTACTATTTCTTTATGCCTACTACATGTCGAGCACTGTGTGTCCTTAGCCAGTGGTGTTTTTGAACTACTATTTTTTTTTTTTGGCCTACCGTACCTAGCAAGAGAATGGAGGATGAAGAGTAAAGAACCAATTAGAGGAAATTTCATTTTAAAAATTGACCTGGGGCCAATTCTTTGGTGTAGTGGGTAAAGCTGCCACCTGCAGTGCCAGCATTCCATATGGTCGCCGGTTCGAGTCCTGGCTGCTCCACACCTATGATCCAGCTCTCCGCTATGGCCTGAGAAAGCCGTGGAAGATGGCCCAAGTCCTTGGGCCCCTGCATCCGCATGGGAGACCTGAAGGAAGCTCCTGGTTCCTGACTTCGGAACGGTGTTGCGGCCAATTGGGGAGTGAACCAGCGGATGGAAGACCTCTCTCTCTGTGTAACTCTTTCAAATAAAAAAAAAAAAAAAAAAAAAAAGAAATTGTATATAAGAAATACATGAAATTTAAAAAAAAATTGACCTAAGGAATGTTTGGCTATTTAAATCAGAGAGAGATGTGAAGAACAGTTAATATAAAATCTACTCACTGTTAAATCCTGGACTTCCTTTTCCAGTTTCACAGCTTTTAGCCTTAGGGCTCGTTCAGTAAGAGATGGCCCAAGCTCATCTGGAGGGTCCTCGGAACTGCAGTCCTCACCAGCAGTTCTCTGGGTGGCAGTGCTGAATGGGGGCAGCCATCCTCTGAGGGAGGAGAGAGGTGGCACGGCATGAAAAACTGCCTTCATCAACAACCGAAAAGTCCACCCAGTTTACAGACTGCAAAGTTTTCCAGGTTGAATCTGCTAACAAAGTGTTTTCAGACACAGTAACCACTGAACACTTAGGAACTTCTTATCAAATAACAGAATTCGTTTTACCCAGATTCGTTTCACAACAAGCACTACTGTCACCTCTATTTTACAGCTGAGAAGAGGGACACTGAGAGATGGTTTGCTCAAAATCACACAGCTGGTACTGTATAGAGCCAGGATACTGAGCACCAGGCACTGCAAACACTCAGAAATGGGTCCACTTAAGTCAGCAAAGAGGAAATCGAGTGCCAATACCCAGACCCACAAAGGCTTATCAGAGGCAGGAATTCAAATACACAAAGTCAGAGAGTTCTGGTTTCACTTTTCACCTCATACACTGGAAAATGTTCAGTCCAATAAAGGGACCTTATCAAACTGGAGTGTGGCTCAGAACGCTAAGCCTTCATTCACATAAGCTGTAAGGCTTTTGGGAGAGAAGCTGTAATTCCGAGTTGAGAACTCACCTATAAGGAAATATGTAAAATAAATCACTGAAATACTTAGAAACATCCTATCGTGGTTTGTGGTCCATCAACAGGTGACTAAAATAGGTCCTTGAACTCAGTTATTATGATCTGATGTCTTATTATATACTGGTTCCAAATTCTTAGTTCAGAAAATAGGGCCTTCCTAAATCTAGGGCAAATTATACTGGGTGAAATCTCTCCTCCCTAAAAATCCACACTTACACTATTTAAATCTGGTCAAATAACTTCTTCTCAGGACCAACTTCAAGGGTTTGAAAATGGTCAGAGTTCAGAGGGTGAAGGAGGAGAGAACTGGGACAGATCCCGATTGCTGCTGCCTCACAACTGGAGTGGGGGGAAATCTTCATCAGAACCAACAGTTTTCTGTCTGGTCACTTCCTCGCTTCACCAACAAACTGCCAAAAAAGGCTTGGAAGCCCAAACAAGCAAAAACCCTGAAACCTTGAATCAACCTCTACCCAGGTGCCAGGGCGTGGTACTGGGTCAGGCGACAAATAGTTACACACATTTCCAGGACTCCTCCACAGCGTAATTGACAGCTCAGAGGGCCAACCCTACCCGTATTCCGCCATACATTTTCTTTCCCAGGAATGGTCTCCCGGAAAACAGCAATTAACATCGTCGCAGAAATTCCAGAGCCCTGATAGGTTTCCAGCCCGGGTTCTAGCACTTGCCGATTAAGTTTAGAAAAGTAACTCATTTCTCCCCCCTCTAAATGACAGTTTCCTCAATTACTAAACGGCGATCACTAAAAAGAACCACCCATAGTTGTGGATGCTGATGGAAAAAGGCAGCTAGTGGAACTTCCGTCTCCCGAAGGAGGTATCAGGTCCAGCGCCCACCTTCTACCGACAGGTAGTGATGCCAGGAGACAGGGGAAGGGACTGGCCTAAGGTCACCCGGAGTCGGGACAGACCCGTATTCACTGCAGATGTTCCACACGGAGAGGAGGAGCAGCTAGAGGGGTGCACCCCGACTGATTCGATGGCTTTGCGTCTTCTCATTCTCCTCAGCCCGGGAACGAGGCGCACCTGTGGCCTCAGTTCCCCTCTCTGTCAAACCGGGCGTGAACACCCAGTCTTAGAGGCCGAGCGGCTTGGCGGGCTCTCTCGCCTGGGCTGCGATAACCCTCGCCTTCCAGCCCTCACCCATCCGCCACCTCGCTCATCCGGATAGCCCTCACATCCGCAACCCCCTCCCCACAAACTTACCTGTTCTCCCACGCGGCACTCGAGGTCAGGAGGCGCTGCACCCGCCGCCGGACCGCCCACAGCGACCGCGCGGCCATGTTCGCAATCCAGGAGGACCCGGGCAGCGCATGCGCGTTCGCTCCAAGTGAGGAGTAGCGCACCCTTGAAAACCACGCTTCCCGGCAGCCTTTGGGGGCTAGGACTTCCGGACAGGAACGCCACACTTCCGGTTGGCTATGCCCTTCGCTGTTCCCTAGCCTGTGTTCCTGACTGAACGCAACAGTTCCGGTTCTCAGTAAGTTGGGCGAGACCGGTCTTTGACTTCACTGCGGCTGGGTCCGAAGCACGGGATTCGCGGCAAAGAAAGCGGAAGCGTCTGTGCCCTCATGGAGTTCACATGCAGTTATGTCATAAAAACGCGATAGAAAGTAAAAGTAGGACCCGTGCTCAAAACTGAGGGGTACCGTGCAGCCGAAGTCTAGAATAGAAATACGGCCGAGTGTGCCAGGAGTTTCCAAAGGAAGTGAAATTGAGTGGAGAACTGAAGAACGGATAGTGGTTCAGGAAGGGGGAGACGTCATCTGCAAAGGTCCTAGGAAGGAAATACAGGGAAGGGGGCGTAGGGACTGAAGACCAGTGGTCAGGCAGCCCTAGGTCACGTGAGCCATTGAGACGTTGCACCCTGAAACCCCGTGCCCGCGCAACTCCTGCCTCTTCTCCAATGCCTTTATTCCCGACGGAACTTTTCAAATGATGCGTATTGTCTGACTTCCCCGGTCTGAGACACAAGCTCCGTTATGACAGGAATATTTTCCTTCCTTTCCTAGTGTGAGTGTTCAAAATTTGTTTTGCTGTATGACTTTATAGTCTTACTCTGATGGCAGTGTAAACATGTGACAACGCCTTTACACATTTAAGAGCCCCCCCCTTTTTTTTCTTTACAGGCAGAGTGGACAGTGAGAGAGAGAGACAGAGAGAAAGGTCTTCCTTTTGCCGTTGGTTCACCCTCCAATGGCCGCCGCGGCCGGCGCACCGCGCTGATCCAAAGGCAGGAGCCAGGTGCTTCTCCTGGTCTCCCATGGGGTGCAGGGCCCAAGCACCTGGGCCATCCTCCACTGCACTCCCTGGCCACAGCAGAGGGCTGGCCTAGAAGAGGGGCAACCGGGACAGAATCCGGCGCCCCGACCGGGACTAGAACCTGGTGTGCCGGCGCCGCTAGGTGGAGGATTAGCCGCTAGGTGGAGGATTAGCCTAGTGAGCCGCGGCGCTGGCCTTAAGAGGCCCTTTGGTGTATGTAAAATGCAGGGTAAAGAAAACAGGTAAAACAGGCTATTGTAAATAGTCCAGGCAAGAGAGGCTGTGTTCTGTCCTGGGATCACCTCGACAGAATCCTTTGTAAGCACCCTCTGTGTAGAGTAGCTGTGTCCAGCACTCTTAATTTCTTAGAATTTTATTTTGTTTCTGTAACTGCAGTGTGAACTTGGCGAGGAATCTGCCTTGTTCACAGCTGATTTCTGACATCTAGGATAGCAGGTGCTCAATAAATACTTATTGAGTGAATTAAGTTGAATGTGTGAAGACAGGAAGATGTGGATGAATTTTGGAAATTTAGAATATAAAGTTGAGATGATTTTGAGGACTGGTAAATTGAGGACTGGGGCTTTTGGAGTTGCTGGTTTAACCACTGGGTAGCCCCTAAAGGTTAATTTTTTTTTCTAAAATAAAGAATGGAAAGTATTCCTTAAGCATCTCAATTTTTAACATAACATGACTTACTTGTAGTCTAGAAATTTGGGTTAGATTTTGTCTCTCATAGCGAGTTCCATGATGGCAGAGCTGCAGTCTCTTGTATCTTTATGTCCTCACTTAAGGCCCAAATCAATATGTCATAACTAATACTCTTTGGTTTTTTTGGCTTCACGAGAAGAGTAGCATGGTTTTAGGAGATCTCCTTTTACATATAACAAAACAGAGCTGAAGATCCAGTGACAGGAAAATTCTGATCCAACAGTTGGCAGTGTTGGGAAAGATGGAGCTAAAATTCTACGTCAGATCCATGGCGTGTATTTAAAAAACAAACAAACAAGGCATTTCAATAGGCAGGAACAAGAACTGGTATCTGTGCCTTAACCATTTTGCTTACAATTCTCTTAGCTGCTCAACTTACACCAAGAGTGCTGCATATATGCATCCATTTATTAAATGCTAATGTGCTTCTGAATGCCATAGTGTAAGGGGAGGGCAATGTATGGATGAAATAGAGCTTTTGAATTAAGAGTAAGGGTTTGTGCTGGCTATACCACTTCCTGACTGTGTGAGTTTGGACAAGTTACTTATCCGCTCTGCACTTCCTTTTCCTGAACTGTGAAAACTGGGTTAATGTTACCTATTTCACAGGGTTTTGGTGACGACTAAAGGAATAATGCCTGGAAAAGTGATTAGTTAGCACTGGCACTGGAATTTAAAGGCAAAAGGAGAAATGCAGAACTCCAAGAAGTAAACAGCAGAGCATTAAACCAAGTACAGGGTCATTAGTGTGAGGTCATGTGTGACTGCACGGGCTGCAAGCCTGTGAAGCCTGCCCTAGCTATCACAGTGCTTGATAACAGTGAGTGTGCAATAAATATTAATAGTTACTAAGGGTCCATTCTCACAGAGTCCAAGAAACACTTAATCCCAAAATAACCACATGAGAAAGACAGACACCGGGGACATGGTTGGAGTGTTGGGTGCCATTCCAAGGTCACATATTTAAAAAAAAAGAATACTGACAATTTGGAGTATGTGAGCTCCTCTGACACTGGAGACACTGAGGTGGAACTGGGATGAGACCTATCAGTTATAACTGGGTCGCCTTCAGCTGTTGGTGGCTGTATTTACTACGTGTCAGTCATTTCATCCTTGATGGGAAGAACTCAGGCTTTTGAGTCAGACATTCTCATCCAGCTGATAATGAGAACCACCGTGACTGAGCATTTCCCATTTCTCAGCTGCTTCGCAGGCATTATCTCATTAAATCTCCCGACATTCTTGGTAGGAAAGTACAGTTGTTAACCCCATCTTCACATATAAGGAAAGTAGGGATCAGGGAGGTTAAGTCTTTGACGTTCTCAAGCTCACCTAGCTGATCAGTGGCCAGGCTGGCATGACTCAAATCTAGTCCTATCTGGATCTGGGTCATAAACCCTACATTTCGTGCTCTTACTGATCTTTTGAGTGAGTTTGATCAGGTTAATTTTCCTGTGCTGGTCTCCAGTTACACAGATGGTGGTAAAGTTTGGATGAGGCTAAGGTATGTAAAACCTTAGGTGGGGTAAGATCTGTAAAGCCTCTAGCAAAGTATCCAGGGATTATTCTGGAATTTCCTTTCTCCTCCTTCAAATAACCCCTGAGCTCCTAAATAGTCATACCTTTATTGGTGGAAAATGTGTTAAAGTTAGACCTATAAAGTTCCGACAGAGTTGAGACAGTAGTGAGAGGCAAATTAAGGACACTGTCCAGGGCTCAAGGTCCTTGCTTCCCCCTTTGGAAATATCAAGTTCATAAAGGATTAGCACCCTTGAGGCAGAAATAAGCCATCATCCTCTTGATTTTCCTGGTAGTTTTACTTTACAGTAGATATGGAAGGGTAGACTAGTGGGCCTCCAGGTTCTAAGATGAGGACTTCGTGAGTATAAAAACACTGTCTTCTGGATTTTTAACCATAGCACCAGGAGCCTCCGTGTGATTTAAAATAGGTAAAGTCCTTGATAGACTGCAAATGACCCCACCTTACAATGCCTGCAAAGTCCTGGTGACGTTAGAACTCCACATTCCTGTCTCTGAGTGTCGCTGTGCGCTTAAAGTATGTTAGCGTCTCAGCTTCTCTTTGCATTCTGCATACTCTGATCTCTGATTTTCAAACTCAGTTCTGGAAAAGATTCCAGTAGCTGCACTTAGCTTTAAGCAGATGAGGAGTGACTGTAGAATTTGCATGTCCTCTGTGGCTTTTGTTCACTGCTTTGCAGACAGGGATAATGTTATTGACCTTTCAGCCCCTTTGCCTTGCCTGGAGGTTGTAAGCAAAGCCCAACGCACATGCAGTTGGCACAGCGCTGTCAGAAGATCAAGTCTCTTCCTCTTTGCAGTGCATGACTGATGCTTCAGCATTGCCTTCCTTTGCCGTAAGGACTGGGAACTGGATACTGAGAGGGGATGCATTGGTTTATTCACAGGTGCTTTCATTTCTTCTTCAGAAGGGAAGGTAAAGGCATCTAAAAACTCTTTACAACTGTGTAGACTTCTGTCTCCTACCCCCCACTGAGTTCCATTCTCTGTAAAGTCATAAGGGTGCCCTCTATTTTCTTCTTCCCTTCTGGTTCTTCCCTCCCCATAATCCCATGAAATCATGCAAACAATGAAGGCTGGTCTTTTAGGGAGCCTGAAGAATAGGTCCCATTTCCAGTCTTCTCAGGGTGTCTCCTTGTGAAAAAGCATTTCTCCCATAGAAGGAAAAGCTGGTAATTCCTTTGGAATGAAATCTGCATCCTCTTTCTAGGTCTTCTTCATTTCCCATTCCTGAAGTAAAAGAGGACAAGATAAATCAGTCTGTTAGATATTCACTGTAACCTGTAGGATAAAAACGTGTCACTGTCTTAAATATATTGTGTTATATCTCCACTGGCCATGCTAGACAGCCTTGGATCCCAGTCCCATTCTCTCTATGTGGTCCTAAGTCACTTTTCCGTGCTGGTCTCTCTTGTCCCTTCATCTATTCTCAATATAGTAGCCAGAGTGGTCTTCTAAAAATGTAGTTCATACCCCAAAACCCCTTGCTCAAAAGTTTCCAACTACTTCCTATTATGTTAGAACAAAATCCACAGTTCCTGCAGTGGCCTGCAAGGCTTCAGAAAAAGGGTTGGCAAACTATGGCCTATTGGCCAAATCTGGCCTATCAACTGTTTTTTTCTTTTTTCTTTTTTCTTTTTTTTTTTTTTTGGACAGGCAGAGTGGACAGTGAGAGAGGGAGAGAGACAGAGAGAAAGGTCTTCCTTTGCCGTTGGTTCACCCTCCAATGGCCACCGCGGCCGGCGCGCTGCAGCCGGCGCACCGCGCTGATCCGATGGCAGGAGCCAGGTACTTCTCCTGGTCTCCCATGGGGTGCAGGGCCCAAGCACCTGGGCCATCCTCCACTGCACTCCCTGGCCACAGCAGAGAGCTGGCCTGGAAGAGGGGCAACCGGGACAGAATCCGGCGCCCCGACCGGGACTAGAACCCGGTGTGCCGGCGCCGCAAGGTGGAGGATTAGCCTAGTGAGCCGCGGAGCCGGCCTCAACTGTTTTTTTCTAACTCATCATAGAAGAATGTTTTTCCTATTTTTAAATGTTGGGAAAATATCAAAAGAATAGTATTTCATGACAAGTGAAAATTATATGAAATTCCAATATTTGTGTCTGTAAATAAAGTTTTATTGGGACACAGCCACGTCTAATTAGTTTATGTAGTGTCTGTGGCCACTTTTGTGCTACAGTGACAGAGTTCAGTGGACGTGAAACAGATCATATAGTCCACAAAGCCTAAACCATTTGCTGTCTAATTGTTTATAGAAAAAACTGGGTGACTCCTGGTCTGGATGATCTGGCTTCTAGTTGGTTGCCTCTTTGATTCTCCTGCTACACACCCTTTGTTCTCTTCACTGGAATCACCTATCTTCTTGATGTTACTCTAACCCTCAAACATGTTAAGGGAACCCACTCAGGGACTTGCTACTTGCTCTTTTCTCTGCCTGGATCATCCTTTTCTTGGATTCCCACGTGGCTCACTTCCTGATACTCCCTCCATTCAGGTCTCTGCTTACTGTGTCACATCCTCAAAGTGGTCTTTGCTGTCACTTAGATAACAACAGTTACCACCACCCCCATCACCCATTCTTCCCTTGCCCTGCTTTGCATGTCTTGTCTTTCCTTTCCCTTTCTTCCTTTCTATTCCTTTTCCTTCCTTCCTTCCTCCCTCCCTTCCTGCCTGCCTGCCTTCCTTCCTTCCTTCCTTCCTCTTCTCTCTCTTTCATTTATTTATTTATTTCAGAGAGAGAGAGAGAGAGAGAGAGAGAGAGAGAGATCTTCCATCTGCTGTTTCACTCCCTGAATGGCTGCAACAGGTAGGGCTGGGCCAGGCTGAAGCTGGGAGCCAGGAGCTTCTTCCAGATCTCCCATGTGTGTGGCCGAGGCCCAAGCACTTGGGGGCGTTCACTGCTTTTTCAAGGCCATTAGCAGGGAGTTGGATCAGAAGCGGAACAGCCAGGACACAAACCAGCATCCATATGGGATGTCAGTGTTGCAGATGGCAACTTTACCCACCAAGCCGCAATACCAGCCCCTGCTTTATCTTTCTTCAAAGTACTCATTACCACCTGGCATCATCTTCTGTATTTATGCATGTATTTCAAGTCTTGTCTTCCTAACTCCATGAAGGCAGGGACTTTTTTTGGTTCCCTGTTATGTAACCAGAATCTAGAATAAGACTGGTATATAGTAGGTCCTCAATAAATACTTGTTGAATGACTGGCCAACTGTAGGAGTGAATGTTGGCTCTCTGAGGCCCTGAAAGTCAATTCCAAATGAGGATGCAGCTGCAGCTTAGCTACAGAGCCCTGCATTTAAAAGTCCTAGACAAAACTGGCCAGCCTTCTCTAAGCAATGTTGCCATGAAGGTAATAAGTAGCTGCCCTTTAATTATATTCTGATATGATAATGCAATTTCAGGCCAGAAAATAGTTGGATGCTTGGGTGCTGTCTACCTCTCCCCTCTCAGTTCATCCACCCTCCTACTTGCTTTCCCTGCTCCAGCTGCTCCCTGGCCTGTGGTCAGCAGGCACAATAGAGAGCCGGGGCTTTGTGCCCCTCTTCCTGGAATGCTTACACTGTAGATCTTCTCAGGCCATTCCTTCCCACCATGCAGGGGACTGTAATAGAGGCCTTCTGTAATCACTGTATCTTTCCGTTTCTACTCCCAGTCCCTCTTTCTTGTTTTATAAATGTATCTGGAAGTACCTTTTCATAGTAACTGGGCATTCTTGAAAAATTATTTATTTATTTTATTTGGATGGGGGGAGAAAAGAGAGAGAATGAATGAGAATGAATTTATGTTCTCACTCTCCAAATGCCTGCAGCAGCCAGAACTGGGTCAAGTCAAAGCTGGGAACCGAGTCCAGGTCTCCCACATGGATGAGAGGGATCCAACTACTTGAGCCACTACTTGTTATTCCCAGGGTGCATATTAGCAGGAAGCTTGAATTGGGAGCACAGCCAGGAATCATACCCAGGTACTGCAATATGTGATGCAGCTATCCTATGTGGTATCTTAACTGCTGTGCCAAATGCCCACCCCTGCACTTAACATTTTCTCTATCTCTTCTCACTAGCTTGGAAGTTCCTTGAGAGCTAAGACCCTTCCTGCCATGTTCACTGCTTTAGTTAAATTTCAATTTCCTCAGCTGTGAAATGAGGCTAAGGATGCCCTTTTTACTTGGTCATTACAAAGTCTGAAAAAAAGAAGGCATTGAAAGTGTTTAGCAAAATATTTGGCATTTAGCAAGGGCTCCTTGTATTTCTATATTGAATAAAATTTGAATTTTCCATTACTTTAAACAGGATATTATCCCTTTTATGTTACTATTTTTCTAATTTTAAATTTAATTTTTGACTTATATATTGTGATTATCATAGTCAAGTTTGTCAACACATCTATTGCCTTACCTAATGACCATACTTTTTTAATGGTAAGAATATTTGAGACCTAATCTCTTAGAACTTTAAGTATACCATACTCATCTAGTATTGTTAACAGTAGTCTCCATGCTATTTTAGATAGATCTATCTCTAGAACTGAAATTTTGTACCATCTGACCAATATCTCCTCATTTCCCCCACTTCCCAGGCCCCAGCAACCACCATTCCACATTGCTGTTTTATTTTAAATTAAGCAAGATTAATTTTATGTATGTCTTATAAAAGATATTGTTCTAAATAAATATAAATGGATTTACAAAAAAAAAATAAAAGATATTGTTCCAGGGCTGGTATTGTGGCTGGGGCAATGCCAGCATCCCATATTAGAGCTACAGTTCAAGTCCCAGTTGCTCTGCTCCAGCTCCCTGCTAATGTGACTGGGAGAGCATTAGATGATAGCCAGGTACTTGGGTCCCTGCCATCCAGGGGGAGACCCAGATGGATTTCCAGGCTTCTGGCTTTGGCCTGGCCCCGCCCCTGGCTGTTGTGACCATTTGGGGAATGTACCAGCACATGGAGGATATTTCTCTCTCTCTCTCTCTCTCTCTCTTTCTCTCTCTCCATCTTTCTGTCTCTCACTCTGCATTTCAAATAAATAAATAAATAAATATTTAAAAATAATAATAAAAAAAGAGATTGGACCTTGAAAATCTGTCCACATTTCTTAGCTTGGACTTCAGGTCCTTCTATACCAAAGCATCTTTCTAGTCTCACCTCCCCCTCAGTTGCTCATTCTGTGCTGTCAGGTGGATCCGAGTGCCAGCATTAGCGAAGGCTCATGAGCATCTCTGGTGTGCCAGGCACTTGTTATTCAGATCCACTTCCTTATCTACAATTCTGAGACCTAGAAAGCCCTGAAACCAAAATATTTCCCAAGTGGTTTCGTCAAACTCATTTGGTGACAAAACCTGACACAACCCAGTGTGAAGCTGTCTATAATCTTTATTTTGTTCCCCTGGTGTGAAAAGTCCCCATCTTTTACTGTAGCAGTGTGAATGTGTTTGACTACAGGGTGTGCCCTGAAAGCCTAGGTATGTACTTTGATGTATATATAGTAATACTGCATTTCATCTTTCAAAAATCCAAAAAGTTCTAATTAACAGATGACCTTAAGAGTTCCACAGAAAGGACTGTGGACCAATACTTCAGAGCAAATCCTGGACTTGGGATTGGAAGAGGTGGGTTCATGGCTCCATTCTTACCTTGATGCCTGCATTGGTTTAGGCAAGTTCCATTACCCCCTGACCTTCAGTTTCCTCACCCAGGGAATGGGCCCCTTTTGTGCTCAGAACACAGGTGGCAGGCTCAGAAGTCAGAGGACTGAGCTTGTTAGCATGATGTATCAACAAAAGTGAACCTGTTCTGAATGAGGCCAGAGGACTCTTCCCTCTGAGGAAGGTTCATGAGTGTTACTGCACGTGGGTGAACAGTTATCTTTTCTCACTGACTAGATGTTGGGGTTTTGGGGAGGTTCCATGTAAAGGGGCTTCCTGAACTCTGACTGTGTATTCGCTGAGTGATGACTGTACCTTGGCTTTCTGCAGCACCCTTCCTTGGTTGGAGGCAACTATGGATGGGCTTCTCTTCCTTAGCTCAGAAACACAGTTGACAGGCAGAGGTTGCTCTGGGGCGCTGGTCTGGGGTTTGTTTGCAGTTTCCTGGTGATGACAAAAACAGTTCAGTAGGATGGGTCTAGTGATGGCTATCCACACCCACCCTATCCTCGAAAGAATCAGGGCAGGGATAAGTATCTGGCGCAGCAGTTAAGATGCTACTTGAGATATTCCATATCCCATATCAGGGTGCCTGGGTTTGAGTCCTGGCTGTACTTCAAATTCCATGTTTCTCTGACTGCACACCCTGGGAAGCAGCAGGTGATGGTTCATGTAGTTGGGTCTCTGCCACCTACATGGAAGACCAGGATTGAGTTCCAGATTCTTGGTTTTAAGTTGGCACAACTCTGGTCTATCCCTAGCTGTGGGGGCATTTGGGGAGTGAGCTAGTGGATAAAAGATTTCTGTATCTGCCTTATCTGCCTTTCAAAAAAAAAGAGAGTAGTTTTAAATGGAAAGCACTAGGCAAACCTGCCAGCACTTAACAGGGTGAGTGAAAAAGGTACTCAGGGCCATAGGATAGATATAGTGACAACCGAAACTACTGAGCCTCACCACGCACCAGGTGTCACGTGGAGTGGATTAGTATAGTTAACCTTTTTTTTTTTTTTTTTTTTAAATTTGACAGGTAGAGTTATAGACAGTGAGACAGAGAGTCAGGGAGAAAGGTCTTCCTTCCGTTGGTTCACTCCCCAAATGGCTGCCATGGCCGGTGCTGCACCGATCCAAAGCCAGGAGCCAAGTGCTTCTTCCTGGTCTCCCAAACAGGTGCCAGGGCCAAAGCACGTGGGCCATCCTCCACTGCCTTCCTGGGCCACAGCAGAGAGCTGGACTGGAAGAGGGGCAGCTGTGACTAGAACCTGGCGCCCATATGGGATGTTGGCGCTGCAGGCAGAGGATTAACCAAGTGAGTCATGGCGCCAGCCCCAGGATAGTTAACCTTTCAACAAGCCTGTGAAGTAGGCACTGTTACTGATAGTCATTCCATCTCACAGATGAGGAAGATGGGAAGGTCAATTTGCTGAACCAAGGTCACATGACTGCTGAGTGGGAGGCTGGGATTCAAACCTTCAAACCCCACAGCTGTATTCTTAACCTCTCTGCTGTATCCTTTTCATTTTCTACCTTACTTTCACCCCTTAAATTTTCCAGATAACTGTTTGGTGCCTTACTGAATATAGTTCCTTAAGTATAACATCTCAAAAGCTAAGCTAGGCCGGCACCGCGGCTCACTAGGCTAATCCTCCGCCTTGCGGCGCCAGCACACCGGGTTCTAGTCCTGGTCGGGGCGCTGGATTCTGTCCCGGTTGCCCCTCTTCCAGGCAAGCTCTCTGCCTGTGGCCAGGGAGTGCAGTGGAGGATGGCCCAAGTACTTGGGCCCTGCACCGCATGGGAGACCAGGAGAAGTACCTGGCTCCTGCCATTGGATCAGCGCAGTGAGCTGTTTCTCTCTCTCACAGTCCACTCTGCCTGTCAAAAAAAAAAAAGGCTAAGCTTGTGGGGAATTAGAGACAATTTCTTTTTAGCTCCCAGGGGCATCAAAGGGCTGTAGAGTGGAGGGAACAACAGGGCATACTGGTAGGAGCAAGCAGCCGGTGAATGAATCACTCCTAGCTCCTTCCCCATCCCTGTATGATCCCTGGTCCTTCTGTTCTTTGACTGTACAGTAAGGCTGGAAATGCCTCGTGCGGAGGAAGTGTAGGGTGTAAAGACCAAGGACTGGCTTCAGTGTCATGGGTGTGGGCCAACCAGGCCATGTGACTTGATACAACAATAACAATAATACAACACCCAATGCCAACTCATACCTATTGGACAGGTGATTTCATCACATTAAGTCTTGATTTCCTTGTCTGAAAGCAAGTAAATCATTTATTCATTCAACAAATATTTATTACACTCATATTTTTAAAGGCTTTGTAAAGGGCTAGGGATATAATAAAACAGACATAGTCCAATTCTTAATAAAAAATAAAGTCTAGACATGTAATAAGTAAGGACACACACATAAACCCACACACAATTTATGGTTAAGTGCTCTGAGGAAGAATAGTAGGACTGTTGGTAATTTTAATCAGTAGTTCCCACCCAGAGATGATTTTTGCTGTCCCAGAGAACATTTGGCAATTTTGGCAGACAGTTTGGTTGTCATAACTGGTGGTGGGCATAGGCTAGAGATACTGATAACTATCCTGTGATGCACAGCACAGTCCCCTGTAGGAAAGAATGACTGGCCCACATGTTTACAGTGCTGAAGTTGAGAAGCCCTGATACAGACGAGGTCTTGGAAGTCCTGAGGAAGTCCCATTGGAGATGACAGTGTGTTTCCTGTAGGGTTGCTGAGTGTAGTAGAGACACCGAAGGCAGAACCCAAGGACAAGAGCTGGTGCATGGGAGATCCCAGAAGAGGGCATGCATCATGGTGGCTGAGCAAGACTCTGGAATCAGACCCCCTGGTTTGGACTCTGTGTCCCTGAGTGATCTTGAGCATGTCATTCAACATCTCTGAACCTCAGATCCCTTGTCTATCCAGTGGGGTTAATACACATAACCCTATCTCATGGGATTGTTGTAAAGATCATGTGAGATAACACAGGTTAGGATGCTCTATAGGTCTATGGAAATCGACCAACATGTTGGTTACTCAACATGGGGTAGCTACTGTTAACAGTAACCTCAGGGCTGTTTCTGAGATCACTTTCACAGAAGTAGTGCTTAGAAGTGATCACATAGTGGTGCTGCCGTGAGGAAAATAACCATCCAGAGACCAAGGAATCTTGCTCTAAGAGTCCCTTTTCAGCTGTGCCACCTGTGCCATGACCACTCCCCTCTCTGGGCCTCAGTTTTCTCATCTGTAAGTGATCATACCCTTTAAAAATTATGTATGTATGTATGTATGTATTCATTTATGTGTAATTATTTAGAAGACACACAAACAGGCAGAGATCGCCCATCCACTGGTTGAATCAATCTGAGTTTCCCACATGGATGCCAAGAACCCAAGTACTTGGGCTATCACTGCCATCTCCCAGGGTACACATTTGCAGAAAGCTGAAATCTGGAGTAGAGTTGGAACTCGAAGGCAGGCCCTTTGAGATGAAATGTGGAAATCCTCAGTGGTATCTTAATTGCTGCTCTAAATGCCTGCCCCAGTGATCCTTTTATTTCTGAAAAAAACATCATGTTAGAAAGTTCTATAGAGTGTTAAGGAGCAGCAATCCCTGGTGTGGGAGGCTGGGCACTCACCCTACTCTTGTTTTTGCTGCTCATGGAGAGCCCCAAGGCTGGGCCGCCGGCCAGGGACTGCTGCAAGCGCTCTTTCACGGCCACGAGCTTCAGCTCCAGGTCAATCCGGCGTTCTTCCTTTGCCCGACACTGAACTTCCAGGGTGGCCATGGCTTCCTCCAGAGCCTTTAATTTTACTCCTGAGTCTAGAGACCCTGATGAGAAAAGGGTGAGCCTGGCTTGAAATGTCAGCAATTCTGGCACGGCCCCCTGCCCTTGCCTGCCCCTTCTGAAGGACATTCCCTGCCCCACAGTCCTGGTTAAGAGATGGACTTTGGGCTTGGGCTTCTAGCTTCATGCTGGGTGGTGTGTTCTTTCTTGCCCAGTACTTCTTTTCTGAAAACACCACCCTGATTCTCCACTTGGAGACCACCTTTCCCCTATCATTCTCTATGGTTTGGGTGAGGCTGACCCCACTTCTCCTTCAAGCGAATAGTAGATAATAACTTAGACTCACCACATTGTATCTTCTGGTCACAGATTGGTGTAGGGACCAAAGTTGGTCCAATGAGAGTGAATCCTAAGACTTTGTGGTGGTCATTGGAAAGAGCTGCCTCTGCCGGCATGGCTATCCATAAGGACTGCAGGTGTACAGCCACTGTGCCACCATAAGGGGGAGAGAATGAAACCGAAGGAGAGGAAGACAGAAGCATAGACTAGAGAAATAAGTCTCCTAGTGACATCATTGAAGTCTCTGAACCTCACTACACCTGATCTCTCAATTTTCCAATTATTACTTTCTTTTCATTTCTCTGCCAGTGTGACTTTGATTTCTGTTACTTGTAAGCTAAAGTAATAACACAGGGATTTATACAGGTCAGGATTTCTAGTCGGATTTTGCTGCTTTTTCAGTTTGATCCAACAAACTTAGAGTAGTACCTTATTTGTGCCAAGTGTTGTGTTGGATATTACCAGGTTTATACACTGGTTCCATTCTTTGCCCTGAATGAAGCTGCAGTGGAGGATTTTCCAGTAATGTTGAGCTTTTTGCATTCATTTATTCAGTAAATATTTGTTGAATGCTTTCTGTGTACCAAGCCCTATCCTGGGCCCTTCAACATATCAGCAAATAAAACAGGCAATGATCTTTGCTCTAAGGGGTTTGATTGTGTGTGTGTAAGAGAGAGAGACAAACAATAAATAAAAATGAGGATAATAATCTGGCAGGGTACAAAGTGATATTAAAAAAAATGCTGAGCAGGAAAAGGAGAAAAGATAGCTTGCTGCAGACTCTGGTTCTGCCTTTATTGAAGGCAAAATGAAATTTATTGAAACCAAGCTGTCTTGCTAGGCCTCCTTCCCACTGATTTTGGTTCTATCCTTTCAATGAGTCTTCAGCAATCTGTGGGTAGACTCCAGCGACAGGGATGTGAGCTCCTGAAATGGTCTACAGGACTGTGAACTGTGGGGCTTCCTCTTAGGAACGGGTCCAGAGGTTCTGACTCTCACCAGGCTATGTGATCTTGGAAACTTCAGGCTGAAAATGTGGCCAACCACAGTTAGAGAGAGAATCCAAAGGAAATGCATCAGAAAATGGTGTGTGGAGGAATCCAGAGAAGGCAGGGCCTGCTTAGGTCCCTGGATTTCAGAAGATCCTGGGCAGGTATCGCTGCCCCTCATCCCAGCTCCTGACCATTGTCACACATGAATGAATGAATGTAGGGTTCAGAATGATCTCTCTCTCTCTCTTTTCTTTTCTTTCTTTTTTTTTTTTTTTTGGACAGGCAGAGTGGACAGTGAGAGAGAGAGACAGAGAGAAAGGTCTTCCTTTTCCATTGGTTCACCCCTCAATGGTCACTGCGGCCAGCACGCTGCGCTGATCCGAAGCCAGGAGCCAGGTGCTTCTCCTGGTCTCCCATGTGGGAGCAGGGCCCAAGCACTTGGGCCATCCTCCACTGCACTCCTGGGCCACAGCAGAGAGCTCTTGTTTTCTTTATGCTATGACACTCTTTGTTTTTCTCATTTCTAATATTAGTTTGCACCCTGCTACATTAAGCACATGCATTACTGTGATGCATTTTCATGTCCTTTACCCAAAAGCAGTTACAACATTGATGACGTTTCTTTTAGTGAGGGGGAGTGATGATGGTGTTAATGAAGAGAAGGAGATGAGAAGTCCACCTCTCCAGGGTAGGAAACCTTGTGACCTGTATGAGTTCTGTGCCAGGAGCGGTGTGTTGGATGAGCCACCCATTGGCTGTAAGGACCATACCCATGTAGATACCTGGGCTGTTCCGAATGGCTTCCTTCAGCTCCCTCTTCTCCTGCCGCAGTGCCACCAGCTCTGTCCGGATTGTCTCCTTCTCTTTCTCCAGCTTCTCTTTTTCTACCAGGTACCTTCGGGCATCCTCTTCAGCTCTGTTCTTGCCATACTTGTATTGATTGGCACCTGCAGAGGTTTGGGGAAGACAGAGGCCTTTAGTTCTGACCTTCGTAAGGGTATTGGTATTTGGATATTGTTAGCTTCTGTCTTAGCCTCAGCTTCTCCATCTAGATAATGGGGATATTTAGATCCATTCCTTTCAATATATTTAGCGTGCATTTCTGAGGGAAATAAGTAGCAAAAGGGAGGCAGTGGAGCATGGGAAAGAAGAGCTTTGGAACCAGACAGACAAAGGTTGGGTCTTCTGTGGCCTTTGCTGGTTGTGGGACATCAGGTGGAAGTGAATGGTGGTGCTTTGTGCCTTTCCCTCCAGGACTCACTTTCCTTATGTGTAAATATTGATAAAATTTACTTCTTAGGATTGTGGTCAGGTTTAATGAGATAATTAGTGAAAAATACTTATAGTTCTTGGCAGATAGCACTTAGTAATTGTTAGGCAATAATGATAATACTATAAAACAAATTTTTGATTGTCAACTGTGGGGAGCAACTCGGACTAGACTAAGTTACTGGAATTAAGACTTATTCTATGCATCTGCTCCCCCACAATATGGCGCTGGGAAGGGAGAAACAGCTTCTACACAGCTGCCTCCAGTTCAACCAATAAACTGTAGGACCTGCTCCTGATTGGAGGAGAGCAGCGTACTCGGCGTGTGGGTAGCAGAGTTGGGATTGGTGGAAGAGGACTATAAAGGAGGAGAGAGACAACATGCACCAGGAACATCTATCTGAAGGAACACCTGTGCAGCCCCCGAGAGAGCCGGCCGGCGGTGTGCCGCTCCCCCGCGGAAGTGGGGAAAGTGGCTAGGGGGAACCGCCCTTCCACGGAGGTGGAAGGGACGGTAGCCAACCCGGGAAGAACCAGCAGCAAACCCGGGAAGGGCCGAGCAGACGAAAGAACAGCGCAGGGTCCTGTGTCGTTCCTCCGCGAAGAGGGGGAGCGACATAATGGTGCCGTGACTCGGATATGAAGCCTAGGCAGGGTTTAGTGTCGTTCCTCCACGAAGAGGGGGAACGACAGTCAACTCCCAAGTATATATAAATCAAGAAGATAATTACATATAACTCAGATCTATATAGATTCTAAACCTTCAGTTAAAGTCAGGCACTGCACATTTTATTTATGAGAAGAGTTGGGGGAGGACAGACCTAATACTACTGTAGGCTCAACACTATGATGTACAACAGCAGCAAACAATTATGTCAAAAATATATTCTAAGTACTGCATGCTAAGCCATTGACTTGTATTTCCATTTAATCCTCACAAGAGCTTTCTATCATCAGCTCTATTTTATTGTTGAGGAAATTAAGGCACAGAGAGGTGAGGTCCCAGTGCCGATGGTAACAGAGCTGAGGTTGAATCCATGACTGACTCCAGAGCCATTAGTACTACCCTAGCTGAGTCAAGGCTATGCTCCAGCCTCTCTGGGGGAGAGTTTTACTTTTTGATTACAGATAGCCACACACAGCCCTTTGGTATTTCGTGGGGTACAAAATGATTCCCATGGTTTACTGATAACTGGGGCTCCTGTCTTTTCAGCTCTTAGAGGGACTGGAATGGTCACCCAGTGACTGTTGCAAAAATCAGTTCCTACCACAAGTGTACTGCAATTCCAGCCTGATCATAAACACAACATGGAGAGCAGATATGCAGACCTGTACCTCCCCAAATTTTCAAGACACACAATGACATGCTAGGCAAGGTGGCTTCCAGACTTTACATTTTTATAGCTTGGATTAAAAACAAAAAGAACAAAGGATTACCAGTATTTTATGACATCAGACAAGGACCTTTTTGTGCTACTGTTGTTATACCCATATATGTTACAGACTTGGCAATGCATTATTATAATTATTATATTATTTTATGGCTATTAAGCTAAGAGGAGGAGGGAAAGTATATATTAGTGGAATTTGTTATATCTGGCTTCTTATTTCCATTTAGTATCATTTTCTTACATCTACCCACCTTCTTTGGGTCATTATTTTCAAAATTTTATGTTTCTATGTACTACAGGCCCAACAAAATGCAAATAAATGGATTTCTATGCATTTTTTAGTGAATTAAAAGAGAATATGTATTTTGTCTTTTGCTCAGTTATCTTTAACAATGTTTGCTTTTATGTGTATGTGTGTGTGGTGTATGTGTGTGTGAATTCCAATTTCCATCTGATTCATTGGCTTTAAGTCTGAATTTCCTTTTGCATTTCTTGTAAAATAGGTCTGCTGGCAACAGATTTTCTGTTTCTGAGGAAGTGTCTTTATTTTACTTTCATTTTTGAAAGAGAGCTTTGCTGGACATAAGAACTTGGTTGACAGCATTTTTCTTTCATGGTTTTGGAATATGTTACCTCACTGCTTCTGGCTTTCTGATAAGACTCAACTGTTAATATTATTGAGGCTCTATTGTAAGTGAGGGGTTGATTTTCTCTTCGTCTTGGTGTCAGCATTTTTACTATGACGTGTCTTGGGTATCTCCTTGCCTTTATCTTACTTGGATTCAGTGAACTTGATGGACATGTAGATTAATGTTTTTAAAATACATTTGGCATGTTTTCAGTTATTATTTATTCTAACATTTTTATGCTCCTTTCCCTTTCTTCTCTTTCTGGTATTCCCTTTATACAAATATAAGGGACTTCAAAAAATTCATGGAAAATGAAATGAAAAGATATACACATTTTCCACGAACTTTTTGAATTCCTTTCATATTAGTGAACTTACTTATGTTCCACATTTCTCTGAGATTCAGTTTATTTCTCTTCATTCTTTTTTCTGTTTTTTGGCTTGTGTAATCTCCACTGATCTGTTTTCAAGTTCACCAGTTCTGCTGCTTCAATTTTACTGTTGAGCCACTCTAATGAGTTTTTCATTTCAGTTATTATACTTTTCAGTTGCATGATTTCCATTAGGTTCTTCTTTTTTATAATTTCTATCTCTTTGGTAGTCTCTGTGTGATAATACATTGTCATAGTACCTTCCTTTGTTTCTTTAAGCATGGTTTCCTTTCTTCTTTGAGCATATTTATTTGGCTGTTTGGAATCTCTGTTAAATTCTACATGTGGGTCCTCTCACAAGCAGTTTCTCCTGCTTGTTTTTTCTCTGTGTAGTTCACACTTTTCTGCTTCTTTGCATATATTTTGGATTGAAAATTGGACATTTGAGATAATACATTGTAGCATCTTTGAATACTGAGCCTTCCTCCTGCAGGGTTGTTGTTATTTGTTTATTCTGTGACTTGGCTGGACTACTTTACTGAAGTGTACTTCCTCCTGCAATGTGAAACTTCTGATGTTGTTTCTCAGAGGGCACAGCACTGGGCATGAGAACAGTCATCCTGGGATGACAGTGGTTTTAGCAAGGCTCTCTGATTCTCCCTCTGATCTTTCTGGTAAGCAGTTTGCCTCTGTTGGTATCAGAGTTAGCTGTTAGGCTTGACTAATTGTCAATTGATAATTCCATTTTCTTTGACACTGCCCTGGGGCAAAAATTGCTCCAGGGGTTGATCCAATTAAATTCAGGCCTATACATGGTAATTTTAGAGGCCAGTATCTGAGATTTATTCTGATACCAGGAGGGCCCTGGTAACTGAGGCCTCCTTCCAACAACCAGCACAAATTAAGCCATGTGAATGAGCCATTGTAGAAGTGGATCTTCTAGCTGGTCAGGTGTTCAGATGACTTCAGATGAAAAGCCATCTGCAACCTCAAGGACCCTAAGCCTAAGTAAGATGCTCAGGATTCCTGACGCACAGAAACTGTGACATAACACATGCTTATTGTTTCGGGGAGCTAAATTTTTAGTACTTTGTTATGTAGTAATAGATAATTAATATGTGACTGGGGACAAGACCTTTGTGTTATAGACTGAATGTTGACATACCCCAAATTCATATTCTGAAACTTGATCCCCAGTGTGATGGTGTTATGAAGTGAGACCTTTGGGGCATGACTAGCTCATAGGGTGGAGTCATCATGAGTAAGATTAGTATCAGTTCTTAAAGAAAGTCCAGATAGTTCCGTTGCCTCCTGCCCTAAGAATACATGGTGTAAAGATGGCCATCTATGAAACAGGAGATGGGACCTCACCAGACACTAAATCTAAATATGCTAGCACCTCAGTCTTAAACGTCCCAGTCCCCAGATCTCTGAGCAAATTTCTGTTGTTCATAAATCACCCAGTGTGTGGAGATTTGTTATAGCAGCCTGAAAGGACCAGGGCACTTTCCCTTTTATGTTCTTCAGCTTCTTTATCTGAAAACCAGTGTTGTTGGATGACATTAGTAGTCTATCCTGTGGTTTCCTCTTGCCATTGAAAGAGCCCTGTGGCTTCACAGTGACAGCTCACAGGATACTGTTTGGGCAAAGAGGAGACCAAGTGGCCTTAACCTAAGCATCTCTACTTTTATCACTTTTCTGAACTGGGATTTCACATATATTTGATTTGAAGAAAGGGTTTGGATTTTTTTTTGTTTTGTCTTTGTTGTTAATGTTATTGTTTTTTTTTCTGTACATTTTGTGATTTTTAAAATCTTACATGCTTATTTCAGTTTTGTTTTCCATTTACAAATGGGCAATTCACAAGGTCCTGATTCCATTGCCTATGAGAGTAGAGTCTAAAAAATTTACACAACCACCCTCTAATTCCTCAGACCAGCAGAGAGGAAAGGAAATTTCCAAAGTCACACAATGATCTAGTGGTCTGTGAGAAATGGAAGGCAGATCCCTGACCCCAGGAGGGGTTATCTATTCCTATGAAATGGAGCTGTCACATAGGAAAGCGTTTTTTAAAAATAAGCCTTTGAAAAGCAAAGAACAGAACTTGACTGTGTTCAGGTGTAGAGGGAAGACACAGAAAGCAATTAAGAAAAAAACTCTTGGAACATCATGTCCTACGGGAAGCAGACTTGCTCATAAATATAAATTACATGGGAGCAGAGATGAGTGTTGGAAATCAGACAAGACTTAGGACAGAATTATTGGGCATACTTTGTCGTTATAGTGTAGTGTGGCAATCTGGCAATTCACCAAGCCTAGGACACGGAGGTGAGCTGTGACTTTTGTGGGAGCCCACTCCAGGGTATCTGGAGGGGCTTAGTTCTGCAGATATTATCCAAATCAGAAGCCACAAATCATTAAACTCTGAAACAGATACAGTTTATAGATGATCCCCTATACAGACACACACACACACACACTCACACAAAGGCTTCTAAAAGTTTGTGGAAAATGGAATTAAAAAATAAATTTTGGTAGGTACAAAAGTTTTGAAATCCATATATCATTTTTTCATAATACGTATTTTCATATACTTTTTGAAGACCACTTTAATTAATATATGGCCTTATTTGGTATTAAATTTTTTAAAAAGCTAGCTGCTAATATTCAAAAAATAGATTTTGTGTATGGCATAGATTTCTGGCATTCTCTGAATGTTGTTGTCAATTTGATAATAAGGGGCTGGCCTGCCACGTGGGGGCCATGGACTAGGGCTGAGTGGCAGCCACCTCTAGGGTTGGAGTCTGAGTGCTCCTCTTTCCCACAGTCACCCACCACCTGTTATTTCTCCCCCAAGGGCACAGGCTTGCTGTGCTTCATCACTGTGAGCTGTCATTTTGCTTATGGTAGAGGATTCTTACTTGTCACTTCCCTCATGTACTTATTCGCCTGACTCCTGGAGCAGGAGGCTATTTTGGACTGTTCCCCTCCCCCCACTCCCCAACCCGCTACTTCTGTTGAGCAGGGAGGGCCCACACAGGACTTACTGGAGGCGTGGCGCTTAACTTTGACCTGTGGGTCCACTCGATGGGACTTCTCACTGCAGGAGGAGGCATGGCGCTTTACCTGGGCCCCAGTGGGGCGCTCAGGCTCCTCATCCTGGTGGGAGACGGAGGAGGAAGGTTAAGTACAGGGAGGCTCAGGCTCATTGACACAGGTGCTTGGTGCTCGTGGAACCTTTAAGATGTTGGCCTTGTGCTTGTGGACTTAGGCAGCACTCAACAGTTTCTAAAGCACTTTCCTTGGCCCTGTATCATTTGGAACTCATAATTTTCTTTGGGGAGGCAACCCTAAATGAGTACCTGCTGAGAGGAAAGCTAGGAAGTTTCAAAAGACTGTGTGACCATAGGTATTTTGATTTATCATAGATTTTTTTGTCTTCACATCATTTGAAAGCATCCTTCTAATTTTGGGCCTTACTAATACAGAGTCCTCTCAAAAAACATGTCATGGGTAAAATCAGCCAACAATAGAAATGACATGAATTAATGTTACTGGCTGTGAAGAAAGAATATGAAGAACATTCAAAATGCACTGGTTCTAGTCCCGGCTGCTCCTCTTCCCATCCAGCTCTCTGCTGTGGCCTGGGAAAGCAGTGGAGGATGACCTGAGTCCTTGGGTCCCTGTACCCATGTGGGAGATCCAAAAGAAGCTCCTGGCTCCTGGCTTCAGATTGGCGCAGCTCTGGCTGTTGCGGCCATCTGGGGAGTGAACCAGCGGATGGAAGACCTCTCTCTTTCTGTCTCTACCTCTCTCTGTAACTCTTTCAAATAAATAAAATAAATCTTTTTTTTTTTTTTTTTGACAGGCAGAGTGGACAGTGAGAGAGAGAGACAGAGAGAAAGGTCTTCCTTTTTGCCGTTGGTTCACCCTCCAATAGCTACCGCGGCCGGCGCGCTGCGGTTGGTGCACCATGCTGATCCGATGGCAGGAGCTAGGTACTTATCCTGGTCTCCCATGGGGTGCTGGGCCTAAGGACTTGGGCCATCCAACACTGCACTCCCGGGCCACAGCAGAGAGCTGGCCTGGAAGAGGGGCAACTGGGACAGAATCTGGCGCCCCGACTGGGACTAGAACCCGGTGTGCTGGCGCCGCAAGGCGGAGGATTAGCCTAGTGAGCCGCGGTGCCGGCAATAAAATAAATCTTTAAAAACAAAGTCACTGCCTGTGATGCTGGCATTCCATATGGGCATCAGTTCAAGTCCTAGCTGCTCCACTGCTGATTCAGCTCCCTGCTAATGCTCCTAGGAAAGCAGCGGAAGATGGCCCAAGTGCTTGGCCCCTGCACTCATGTGGAAGACCTGAAAGAAGCTCCTGGCAACTGGTTTCAGGCTGGCCTAGCCCTAGTTGTTGCAGTCATTTGGGGAATGAACCAGTGGATGGACGGTCTCACTTTCTGTAACTCTGCCTTTCAAACGAATAAGATAAATCTTAAAAAAAAATGCAGTCAAAACACAGGAAACCCTGGTGGAGAAAGATAATACTGGTTATTAGAATCATGTTAATAACAATTACACTGTTTACTGCTCCTATATAAGACCTTCTGATGTCCACGCATGGTGCCAGGTTTCTTTGACATAAAATATCTTGTTTATTTTTGCAACAGTTCTATAAGGTGAGTTCTAGAGGTGGAGTTCAGAGTCATCCTGCACCATCCATGGCAGAGATCCTGCATTCAGCCATGTCTGATGTCCTTAGCAGCTCAATTCTCCCCCACCCCCTTTTGTGGGGCCTTTCCCACCCACCAGCGTCGGATCAGAATGTGGTTTTCTTTTCTCCCAGGGGCAGGCTGCCAGGAGCTCTCGGGATCAGATGACAGCTACAGAAGCCTCACTGTAAATTAATGAGGTGGCTTTGCTTTGGTTTAGCAAGCAAAACAGGGAGATTGGCCAGCGCCGCGGCTCACTAGGCTAATCCTCCGCCTTGCGGCGCCGGCACACCGGGTTCTAGTCCCGGTCGGGGCGCCGGATTCTGTCCCGGTTGCCCCTCTTCCAGGCCAGCCCTCTGCTGTGGCCAGGGAGTGCAGTGGAGGATGGCCCAAGTCCTTGGGCCCTGCACCCCATGGGAGACCAGGAAAAGCACCTGGCTCCTGGCTCTTGCCATCGGATCAGCGCGGTGCACCGGCTGCAGTGGCGGCCATTGGAGGGTGAACCAACGGCAAAAGGAAGACCTTTCTCTCTGTCTCTCTCTCTCACTGTCCACTCTGCCTGTAAAAACAAACAAACAAACAAACAAACAAAAAAACAAAAAAACAAACAAAACCCAGGGAGACTGTCCTGGGAGTGTAAGCTCAAGCTGTGGATGACAGGTGAAGGGCTGTGGCTCAGCCATACAGCACCTGCTCCAGACAGCATGCATCAGCAGTATCAGTCCACAGAGTGGTAAATGGCAGGAGAGTCCAACTACTTGGTTCAAATTGGAGATGCTGCCTCACATGTTCATAGTGCTTGGCAATTTACACAGCCCTTTCTTCGCCCCAGAGGGGGCTCCTTCTACTGCCCCACTCAGCTCCTATGCAAGGCATTCCTCATTGTTAGCCATGATCTTTGGTAAGAATGGACTCCCTTTCTGGTTGCTGGTTAAACGAAAGCAAAGGCTAAAAGGAGCAGCAAGAGAGGAATAGAAGGAGAGCTAATAAATGGCCTTTGCCACATCCTGGACAGCCTCAAGGGATCATACCGGCGTCTTTTCGTAAGGAACGTCGTCATAGATGCGGGGCTCAGGCCACTGATCCTGGCAGGATCTTGCGTATCTGGAAAACAGAAGGTATGATGATGATGACTATGACACCTGGCAGCTCACGGTGCTGTCCTGTCCACCCTCTGGCAGCTCCCAGTGTAGCACGGGAGATTTAGGAACAACAACACAGCTCCATGGACAAAGACCTGTGTGATGCTCATAACAACGCAGAAGGCGGGCAGTTCATCACCAGCATTCTGTTAATTAGAAAACACTGGATTCGGCCAGCGCCGTAGCTCACTAGGCTAATCCTCCACCTTGCGGCGCCGGCACACCGGGTTCTAGTCCCGGTCGGGGTGCCAGATTCTGTCCCGGTTGCCCCTCTTCCAGGCCAGCTCTCTGCTGTGGCCAGGGAGTGCAGTGGAGGATGGCCCAGGTGCTTGGGCCCTGCACCCCATGGGAGACCAGGAAAAGCACCTGGCTCCTGGCTCTTGCCATCGGATCAGCGCGGTGCGCCGGCTGCAGTGGCGGCCATTGGAGGGTGAACCAACGGCAAAAGGAAGACCTTTCTCTCTGTCTCTCTCTCTCACTGTCCACTCTGCCTGTCAAAAAAAAAAAAACAAAAAACAAAAAACAAAAAAAACAAAAAAAACACACTGGATTCAAGATGGCACCCAACCAGCTATGCTTCTACAGCTGGTGGTGATACAGCTGGGACTTGAATCTGGTTCCTGTAATGCCCAAGGCCATGGGCCAGCCTCACGCCCATTTGATGCTCAAGACTGTCAGAGCCTACAGTCCTGGAGCTTACAATCCTGGGCAGGTGGGCAGAGCCCAGGCCACTGCTCCAGGACTCCTCCACCTTTGCTTATTCCATCCCCAGCTGCCGTTGATCCCCGGTTCTCTCCTATAGCGAGCTCCTCCTTGCTGGAAGGGGAAGGCATCTTTCTAGCTTCCCAAGGAAGCACCGTCCTCCTCAGCTCTTCCTCCCCTTCCTCCCAGTTCCCCAGGATGGACTCTGAGCCTCTGAGACAGAGCAGAGACACGAGGGGCCCTGGCCAGGTGTGGTAGCCCAGGGGTCTCTTACAGGAAGGAGTTGCGCCCAGCACTGACGATGCTGGTTAAGGTCTCTACATCCACGTAGTCATAGTGCAGTGCCTCAGGTGTGACTTTGGAGCCCATCTCCACCAGCAGCAGCCCCAGCCAGCGACCCATGTCCTCTGAACAGCTTGCCTGCAGAAGAAGCACAGGGGGAGTCCATTTTGGCACTGCCAGTGCATCTGGCTCCCTGCTTATTCCAGCCAAAGCCACAAATATTTCTAAGTATCTATTGCACATGCAATACTTACAGATCACAGAGTAATGAGATGAGAATACACACTCAGAAATCCAAGAGGCTTCCCTCTTCGCTCTAGGTATCTGCCATGTCTTCAGAGAGGCCTTCCTGGACTATCTCTCTAAGATAACATGACTTCACTCTGTAGCCCAGGTCCTCTGAACCACTTGTTTGTATTCAGATGTTACCTGAACACTATGGCTTGACTATTTGTTCCCCCCAAACTTGGGAGTTTAGTCCCCAAACTCCTGTTTATGGTTCTAAGAGGATGGAAATGAAATGTAATTTTGCTGTTGGGAGCTAGGGCTTTGCAGAGTGACTGGGTTGGATTAAGTCATTGGGTGGAGTGTCCATGACTGAATCCTGGTGGTTTTATAAGAGATCACATAGATACAGACAGGTGCATGTTCCCTGTCTCTTACCATGTGATTCCCTCTGCAGGAGTCTGCCAGCAGGAAAGCTACTACCAGTGATGGAGCCAGTGGGACCACCTGATCTTGAACTGCTAACCTCCAGAACTGTAAGCCAAAGAAAACCTTTTGTCTTTATAAATCAGTTGCCTCAGGAATTTCCTTATAGTAATAAAAACAAATACCCTGATTTTTTCTAAAAAAGTATTTTTATTAGACTGTTTCTCATACAATGCCATTAATTTTCCTTTGTATTATAATTGACAATATTTATAGCATTGTATACAGCAAAGTGTCCAAAAAGAACTCATACTTAATGTAAATTCTCATTTAAAGACTATTATTGTAAAGTTAATTTAACACTCAAATGCCAAAACTGAATAAAGGAGCTATATTTTTTTCTAGAAAGCTTGAAGTGTAAATTAAGAGAGAATAAGAGACTCAAACTAGCAAAAAATGGAAGCAAGTTCCAGAGGCAATATTTTTTGTAGTTTAAGAACTGAGGAAGCAATGGTTGGGTTGTGGGCAAAGGCAATGGGAGCAGGAGGCTGGGTTCGAGGTCTAGGAAGAGACGAAGCACTTGTCTGCCCTGCCTGAGTTTCCCTATCTGTAATGTGAGAAGGTGGTTAAGTTGTTCTCCGCTGTTGACTCTCAACAGCCAGAGGACTGCCATGTGAAAGAGACTTTGAATGCCTCCTGCATGATTTTGGAGAAGGTAGGAGGGATAATGAATGACAGACGTGAAGCCACATTTCATTCCCTCATTTGTTCTATAAGTGTTTGCTAAGAGCCTACATTGTGTGTTTGTGCACATGATATCTGGCAGGGTTCTAGAAAAACGAAAGTATGCCAACCCCTTGAAAAAGTATGCATAATGATTGCTTTGATGGAGCTTTTAGACTTTAGCTCAGTATGGGGAAATCTTGCTACACAGTCTGAGTTGTTTGATGGGACAGGCATACTACCTTCAAGGGTAGTGGTTCAGCAGAGTGGTTCAGCAGAGGTGGCTGAACCCTGGGGGGATGTTCCTGGAGTCAGGTCCCAGTTAGATTAGACCAGGTGCCTTTCATTTTAAGATCAGGGGCATAAACAAGCTTTGGTTTTAGGGCTGGCAGTTTGAGTTAATAACAAATGAAGAATGCTCTGTTAAGTTTGAATTTCAGGTCGACAATGAATAATCTTTGAGTTTAGGTATGTCCCAAATCTTGCATGGGTATATTTGTGTAAAAAACATCATTCATTGTATACTTGAAATTCAGACTGACTTGGGTGTCCTGGATGTTATCTGGCAACCCTGCCAGGTCACTCAACAGCCCCTAGGCTTGCCTTTCTTTCCCCCTAGTCCCTGCCGTGTTAGTAGCAAGTATCCCCTCCAAAAAAAAAAAAAAAAAAAAGACACCCAGGCCAGAGTCCATTACCAAGAGCGTCCTGGACCCTCCTCTCACCTCCAAGATGGCCACCTCCTGTCGGTTGCGCAGGATCCTGAAGGCAAAGGGGTGTCTGGGCCCAAAGCCTGGGGCCACCTCGCAGCCGCAGAGGGCGATGGCATTCACATGAGTGCGCAGGTCGTTGCGGTCCTTGTGGAAATACAGTGTGCCATGCTGTAGGCGGCACCAGCGTTCCTTCCAGCCCTGGCTCACCAGCACGTTCAGGTAGCCTGTCAGTGGAGAGGGTGGTGTGATGCAGGCCAGGTGCATGGTTCACACATGGGAGAGAACACCAGGACATGCCCAGCCTGCAGCTGGAGAGAAGGCATCTGGGCCTTTCCGGTTGGTGATCTTGGGTATCTCGTGATGAATGTCTACCAACTAGCTGGGAAATGGGCAGTGATATCCCCATCCATATACAGCTGCATGGTCTTGGGGCCACATGAAGGTCAGTGGCAAGGGCAGGAACTACCAACACATTGTCCTTCCTGCCTTTCCTCACCCTAAAATAAAACTGTCACTAAAAGCTGGACAATAATGGCAGATGGTGACACCTGGTGGCAGCGTGTGGGAACAGGAACATCTAGCTGAGGGAAACCATAAGACAGAGCAAGGCATAAGCACAGTACAGCAGGTGATGACTTAGAATTTCTTCTTATTGTTTTAGGCTTTAATCTTTTTACACTGACATGCCATTATTCCCTGATTACAAAATTTTTATTTGTAGCTACAGGCTTTTATAATTTTTTTTTCAGGGCCAGTAGAATATCACTGCCTATTTAAAACACTGGTATGACTTTCTACTGAATTCCAGTATATGGAATCCTTCATTTAATAAAATGTGTCCCACCTCCAAGCCACTTTTAACTCAAACTGAATGCACTTACCTACTTATATCCAGACATTTCTATCTAAGACTGGATGTAAATTGTAGGCCTGGCATGTTATCGGCTGGGAAATAAGGTAAAGGTCTGTACTTTCCTTTTATTACAGTGGGGGAAACTGAGACAGCGAAGTGCAGAGATAGACAGGGATTTGGGGTAAGGTCACAGGAGCACAGGAATATGGGCATCAGCTGGCTATTCCTTTTGCTGAGCATTGTGGGAGAGGTAATGGGGCCAGGATGGTGATTGACATGTTGATTGTTGACAAATTAGTGTTAAGCCATCCATTGGCCTGGGATTCTCTCTTCTGCCATGGGTGTGAGGTGGATGAGGCATGGCAGGGCTCCTGGCTTCAGCCTCAAGACCCCATGTCCACTAGGCCAGACCTCCCTCCTCCCCATGGCCCACACCCACCACAGCATGGAACCTCCTCGGCAGAGGGTGTTTGCGGGTCATCAGCCAGGGCCTTCTTCTTGGAGAAGCTGATGATGCGGGTGATCTTGCGGCCTGCAGCCCTGCTCATGGAGCCCTTCAGCTCCGCCAGGCTACTCTTCTTTCCTTTGCCTGTTGTACAGAGATGCATCAGGAAAGTGGGGAGCCCCAGCTCCCACTTTCACCCAACCCTGGACTTCCCTGTTGCCCCCGTGGTGACTGGTCTGTGGCTCCGAGTATGCCAGGCTGGATCATCTTACCCAGGTCTCCAAACTGGTCAGCATCTGCTTTGCCATTGTGTCCCCTCCCAGCTCTGGTATCCCCCATCCTGAGCCCGTAGATTCCTACCATGTTCACATGCCTCCCGACGGCCAAGGGTGGAACAGTTGTCACCTGTGCTCAAGCTATCCGAGTCTGAGGTCTGCTTCTCTTGGGACAGCCTCTGGAGTAGGACACAGACAGCCTCATATTAGAAGACACACTGATGAAGACCCCTTTATTGGTTCAGTATCCCCCAACTCCCCCAGCACAAGATAATTAGCTAACAAGTAATTGTCAGCTGCAATCATGTGCCAGAAACCATACCAGGTAGTGGGAAGACCACTGAGACTAGACATGGATGTGTCTTTTAGTTACTCTTGGTCTACATGGAAGCAAGGCTACTAATGGTAACACATTAGGATCAATGCTGTAGGAGTTTGGACTGTATTCAGCAGGAGACAGGGAGCTGGAATGGTATTTAAGTGGGATATAATGACATCCGGCTTGGTTTAGGAAGTTCCTTCCAGTGGCATTGTGGGGACAGACAAGACTGCGCAAGACTGGAAGCAGGGGCTGGTGCCGTGGCTCACTGGTTAATCCTCCGCCTGCAGTGCTGGTATCCCATATGGGCGCCGGGTTCTAGTCCCAGTTGCTCCTCTTCCAGTCCAGCTCTCTGCTGTGGCCCAGGAGGGCAGTGGAGGATGGCCCAAGTGCTTGGGCCCTGCACCCGCATGTGAGACCAGGAGGAAGCATCTGGTTCCTGGCTTCAGATTGGTGCAGCGCTGGCTGTAGTGGCCATTTGGGGAGTGAACCAATGGAAGGAAGACCTTTCTCTCTGTCTCTCTCTTTTACTGTCTAGCTCTATCTGTCAAATAAATAAATTAAAAAAAAAAAAAAGACTGGAAGCAAAGGAACCACTAAACAAAGGGTCATACTGGTCAAGAGAAGGGGATAAGCCCAGATAACAGTGAGGATGGGGAAATGGATGGGCAGAGACATTCAAAGTAGTCATAATGGACTTGGGACCACAATAGCAACCCATTATGATCCTACCTTGGTGGAGAGAGGATGGTAAGGCTAGACAGACAGACACAACCATACCTACCATGTTCACAACCATATTAGCAGCCAACATTATTTTTTCTCACTGTACCAACTCAGGATCATTCATTCATTTAGACAAGGTCAATTAAGGGCCTACTAGGAGTGGTGTGAAGTAGCCAGACCAGCCTTGGAAGAAATTGGTGACTTTCCTACCACTTACTAGCTGAGGGAATATGGGAAATTCCTCCCATTTTCCTGAGGTTTGGATTTCCTACCTGAATCACACCCATTTCAGAGGGCTGCTGTGAGGCACCAGGCAACTGGTCCAGGTGGAATTATGAGGCCAATATATTGTACCATTTCTAACACCTGTGTGGTGTGCTGCCATCTTGCGTTAAGGGGCTAAACTGTGCCAGTCAGACTTGGGACAGGATGCTGATGACCCCAGCCCACCTAAAAGGTGGAATTACAGAGCTGAGGCCCTTAAATGTTTCCTGTTGAGGATCCCCAGCTCAGGCCTGGGATGCTTTTCTCTAAGTCTAGTACTGAGGTACAGAGAGTATAGGAGATGTCCAGGACAGCTGGACAAATGGCAGCTGTAAGAAATGGGAGCAAACTGTCCAAGCATAAAGCTTCATGTCTGTGAACTGTGGAGCAGAAGTTATGGCTGTAGTTGTCCTCAATGGTGTACAGATGGCAAGTTTTTCATTAAGACAGAGAACACATACAAACACTGTGTGCACCCTGGAATTAAGCACATGATGATGGCACTACAATCCTATGATTCCATGGAGAGAGAAACTCCCCCACCCAGATACCACAACCCCATCCTGTCTTCCCACCAGAATTATCCTGAATATTCAGCCACAGGAAAGCCCAACTGCACAAGCTGGCCCCACCCACCTCACTATGAATCCCTCATACTGCACTACAGCACATGACCTACAATTGTGACACTCCCCTCACCCCACACATACACACTTCTGTCCCCTTCCCTTGGCCACCTATGCCTCCATGCAGTCTTGTCCATGCTTTAGGCTTTAGGGATCATCATAGTTACTGGCTTCTCTAACCCTCCCTGCCCTTCTGGCCATCGTGAGCTCCCGCCCCCACCCCCTTGTAGGATCAACACGCTTATAAGCTCCCCCTTTACTCTGAGCCAAGCTGTTCTGGCTGCTTCCAATTCCATGCTTCCTCCTGCTCCAGCACCTGCTCCCTCTGCTTGCCCCTCCCCTTCCTTGCTAATGTTTCATTATCACTTGAAATGTCACTTCCACAGGGAATTTTCCCCAACCTCTGACACAGGGGCAAGCCATGCTTCCAGAGTGCCTGGTACTTTTCCTTCCTAGCATGTGCACAGCTTGGCGTGTACGTGTCTGCTTCTCCCTGGGTGTAAGCACTGTGAGGGGAGGGTTGTGTCTGTCTCTGGATTACATGAAGTGGCCTAGCACAGTGAGTAGTGTGCATGGATACTAAGTGCTGGTAGAGTGGGTGCTCAGGACATTCGTCACTAGGAGTCAGAGTGTCTGGATTTAAATCCCAGCTCTGGGGGCAGGCACTTGGTATAGAGGATAAGATGCTGCTTTGGATACCAGTATCCCATATTGGAGTGCCCGGGTTTGAGCCTTGCCTTCACTCCCAATTCCAGCTTCCTGCTGGTGTTCACTCTGGCTCCCGTAGTTGGGTCTTGGCCACCCACATGGGAGGTCTGGATTGAATTTCTGGCTTCTGGCTTCAGCTTGTCTCAGTCCTGGCTGTTGCCAGCATTTGGGAGAGAAAACAAGTGGATGGGAACTCTATATTTCTGTCTCTATTTCCTAAATAAATAAATAATTAAAAAGTCCTAGCTCTGTTTATTTATTAGGTAACTAGGTGAATCTCCATGTGCCTGATGTTTTTTTCATCTGAAAAAACCTACTCAGACTAGGCATATTCCCATCATCTAAATGCTATTCTATACTGTATTTTGTAAGTCTCAGGTGTGTGGGTGTTAAATGTTACACTAGACTATAATATCCTTGTGAGGACATTTAGGCCTGTGTCCCTCTACCATCCAAACTAACTGGAAAAGCAAGATCCTAGAACATAAGCGCTGCTGGCCTGACCAGCTGACTAACAAATGCTTCACTCATGGCCCAAGCAGGCTCACTCCTTTTCTGACTGACAAACTTCAATCTGTTTTTCATGGCACAGTTCCTATGTGACTCTCCTGTCCTGGCAGAATCAGTCACTTCCTCCTCTGGCTCCTGCTACAGCCTGGACATGAGCACTCACTGATGTATACACGTGTGAATTCAGTAGACAATTATTGAAACAACCTGTGAGCTCCCCCAGGGTGAACCCCGTGTTCTGAGTACCCACTGCCCAGCATGGGGGGCACTAGTGGAGACATACCTTGTCTAGGTCCACCTTGCACAGGAGGACTGGGGACCTGGGGACCTCCAGCCCTTCGGCTCTGACTGGCTTGCTCACCTCCCGAACTACCTGTAGACAGGACACACAGCTGTGAACAGGGAGGCAAAAATCGAAGAATGGAATCTGTGTGGATGGGGCCATTGAGCAGAAGGTCAGGGTCACCGGAGGAAGAGATGAGCTGTTAGCTGCCTGAACAGGTGTGGTGTGCTCAGGATCTAAAAGGCTTTCTCCTCCATCTGTCCCTCAGATTGAAAAGATGCAGGGCTGGGAATCAAGAGGCTTGGCTTCTAGACCTGGCTTCAGTGATCCTAGTTGTGTGGCTTTTAGAAAGCCACTGCCCTGCTCTGGACCTCAGTGTCCACTTCTGTAGTATGGGAATGATGCTCATCTTTGGTTTGGGTTGTCTGAGGACACAGAGATCATGACTGTGATGGGTGATGGAAACCGCAAGCCTCACTAGGGTGAGGCGCCTGCTCCTATGACCGTCTGGACCTTTACAGCAACCTAAGGGGCAGCAAGGGTTAATGGCACCAATGATTGCAATGATGTGGAAACTAACACTTAAAAGTCCCTGGCCCAAGGCCACTTGGCAGTAAACAGGCAGATCCTGAAGTAACGGCAGCCATCACTCGTTGCTCACCTGTCAGATGGCTTTCTGTGGATTGCCTCATTTTTATCCCCACCACAGCCTTGTGGTCCCTGAATTACACATTAGGAGGATGAGCTGTTAGGCAGCAGCAGCAAACACCAAACATGGCTGCCTGCTCTGGCCCTGTGGCCCTGTGGCTATGTGCTCTTCCCTGTGGGAAGTCAAGCCAGGCCTCTTAACCCAGGGTCCATGGCTCCTTCTTCTGACCCCTCCAGCCCCTGGAGGGCAGAGGCTCCTCCCCGCCCCCCAGCAGGCAGGTTCTCTCCCTTCCTTCCTCTCCTGAGACCAGGGCAGCAATGAGAAACAACACACATTCCGGTTGGAGAGTGGGTTATCACAGGAAGGAAGGGAGGAAGGGCAGGGGGGGAGGTGCTTGGTTCCATTGTTCCAGCAGGGAGATTGGAGGAGTAGGGGAGAGGTGTCCAAGGGAAGCAGAGGCAGGCAAGAACAGATCAGTAAGAACGAATTGGGGTGGGGGCTTCGCTGTCGTTGCAGCAGTAAGGCCTGGCAGCTTCTGGACACTTACTCTCTGGCAGGCGCTGCGACAGGTATTCTCTAGAATACTGACAAGACCCACTTTACTGATGAGGATTCTGAGGCACAGCGAGGGGAAGTTGTTTGCAGAGTATCACACAGCCAGTAAATGCATGGCACCAAAGTCCTCTCTTGCTATCACTATGCTGTCCCGTCTGTGGCCTTTGGAGGAGATTCATTTTTTAGCTTCTAATCCTCCCCCCAAACCACTTGGTTTTATGACCTTGGCAAGTCATGGAAGTTTTCTGTGCCTCATTTTCCTCATCTGTAAAATGGAAGCCATAATGGTCCCATTGTAAAGGGTAAATGACATCATGTGTGTAAAGTGCCTAGCACAGGGGCCGGTGCCGTGGCTCACTTGGTTAATCCTCTGCCTGCAGCACCGGCATCCCATATGGGCACCGGGTTCTAGTCCTGGTTGCTCCTCTTCCAGTCCAGCTCTCTGCTGTGGCCCAGGAGGGCAGTGGAGGATGGCCCAAGTGCTTGGGCCCCTTTGTGAGCAGGGTGCTTGGGCCCAAGCATGGCCTGCTTCTCCCCTGAATAAGGCTTGGTTCATTCCATGGGTAGGATCCGGTCCCCAGAGGCTGGTCCCAGGGAAGACAGGAGGAAAGGACAGGTGGGTGGGAAGCGCAGGTCCCATGTACCTTCAACCACTCTTCGGCCTGCTCTCGGCTCTGCAGAGCCAGCACCAAGACCTCTGTGGCCCCCTGGGAGAAGTGCAGCTCGTGCCTCTTGTGCCGGCTGTCCTTGGGCACGTAGCTGACATTGCAGACTCCCAGTGCCAACCTCAGATGCGGCTGCCGGTCCTTGGAGCTCTTGTAGCACTGGGCAGGGAGAGAAGGGGTGGATTCTGGAGTTGGGGGGAGAGGAGGGAGACCCCTCACACAAAGGCTCAGGGATCATTCCTCTACCCCAGAGACCTCCCCAACCCAGCCCGCCCATGGGCACTGCACGAGGACACTCAGAAGCCCGGCCCCTCTGGGCAATCCCTAGGTATACCACCTGCTTAGGAAAAGTCAGATTTCAGCACAATGCCAGGGACACCATGATAGCCTAAAGAATCAGCGAAGATATAGGCTGGCTTGGGAGGAATCTGGTTCAAAGAGTTCCTTGGCAGGAACTGGGCAGAGAGAATTCTAGGAGACACAGAGTTGGCTTTGGGAAGTCACTACTTTATCACATTGATTGTCATTCTCCATTCTTACTATGATGCCAGCATTGCCAGCATTACCACCATATCAGAAACTGAAAGTGACATTACAAAAAAGGAAAATTACAGGCCAATTTCTCTCCTAACATAGTGGTAAAAGCCCTGAACAAATATCCTCAGAGAATTGGTTTTGGACTACCCCCGCCACCCATGGACATCAAAATCTGAGGATGGTTAAGCCCCTTATATAAAATGGAATGATATTTGCATATAACTTATGCACATTTTACTGTATACTCATGTAGGTTAGTTATACTTAATAAAATGTTAATGACACATAAATAGTTGTTATAAGTATGTTTTATAAAAAAAGTATGCACAAGTTCAGTACAGATGCAGTTTTTTGCAGACTTTTTTTTTTTTTATTTCAACCCAGTTTTACAGAATATTTTTGATCCACAGCTGGTTAAATCTCTGGATGTAGAACCTGTGAATACAGACCTGTGGACCCAGTAAGCTGATTGTACTAGCAAACCTAGACACATATAAAGGGCACATTAAAACCAAGTGGGATTTATTCTAGGAATGCAAGGATGGTTAAGATTCAAATCAACCATATAGTTCATCATATTAACAGGAAAAAAAGGAAATCACAGATCTCAATGGAGGCAGAATCAGTACCCACTTGTGATAAAAACTCTTAGCAAACTAGAATCTAGGGGCGCCTTCCTTCATGATAATAAGGAACATCTACAAACAACCCAAACATCAGCCTTTGTTGGGTGGTTGTTTGACTTAGTGGTTAAGAGAGCAGATAGGATACCTGCATCCCACATTGGAGTGCTGGCTTTAGCTTCCTGCTAACGTGGACCTTAGGAGGAAGAGGTGATATCTCAAGTAGTTGAGTCCTTGCCATATACATGAGAGACCTGGATTGAGTTCTTGTCTGTTGTGCCCATTGTGGGCATTTGGAGGAGTGAACCAGTGGATAGAAGTTCTCTGTTTGTCTCTATCTCTCAAATACATAAGTTTAAAAACTCACGAATTTCCCTTTGATATTTGGACTGAGTCAGGGATGCCTGATCTCACCATTTGTATTTATACTATGCTGGAGGTCCTGGCCACTGCAGGAAGCCAGGAAAATAGAGAAGGCATAGGAGTGAAGAGAGGTCAGGCATGACTCTGGACTGGTGCTGGCCTGGGATGAGTTTTTCACTGGCCCAGGGCAGGAAGAGGTTGAGATTTCAAATGCATCAGTGTTGAGCAAGGCTTGTCAACATATTTTTGGTTAACAGCTATTATTTTTTTATGAGATTATATTCATTCTCCTACTTTAGCAAAGCAAATTAAACAGTGCTATAGGGAATCTGTGTTTTATAAAAGGCAAAAGTATAGAGATGAGAGTAGAAATATGTACATTAAAACTTAACAGTGGTTATCTCTTAGTCAATGGATTACAGGTGGTTTTAAAAGTCACTTCCTTTGTTTTTCTTTAATTTTATAAATCAGCACATTTACTTGCGTAATAAAAAACAAGAACTGTTGTTTTAACATGTTAAAGTGTTCTTCTCTGGCCAAAGAAAAACTTGGCAAAACCCATGTCATCAGGTCTTTAGGGTTTGTGTATTTAAATTCTTCCATCTTGGAAGCTCCAGGCTTTGAACTCTACACAGAATCAGGCCAGAAGGGCTGACACAGACACATGTGCATGGAGACACACTCACGTGCCAGGCCACGTGAGGCCACTCACCAGGAGCTGGTCCTCCCTGATGATGGTCAGCTGCTTGGCCCACTGCCCGAAGCGCTTTTTCCGCAGGAGGAAGGCACATATCCTGCAGTCCCTCACCAGGCGCATTGAGGCCTCCTCTGAGGGCCAATGGTGCCTGGGCTGCGGCTCCTTCCCTTCTTCCTCCTCCTCATCGTAGGACTCGTAGGAGCTGCTCATTGCATCAGAGTCGTTGTCTGTGGGTGCCACAGGAAAGGACCTGTCACTGTACCATCCTCAGGGAAGCCCCCCAGCTTGGGGCCCTGGGCCCATAAAAGGACATGTGGCATGCTAATGGTAATGAATCACACCCCTATATTTGCATTTGCTTTGTAATCTTGGTGACTTCATGTCCCAGTGTCCTCATCAATAAAGTGATCATAATAAATAACAGTACCTCCTTCCTCGGGGTGTTGGAACACCGGTGCATGCGGAATGTTTAGCCAAGTGCCTACCACCCAGTAAGCACTCAGTAAACTTCACCACTGTCCATACCCCTCACCTGCACCTCCATTGTCTCAGGTGATCCTCATTATATAGATAAGCAAGTCTCCATTTTATAGATAAGCAGGCTTGAGGCTCAAATGGAAGAAAATACTCACTTAGGATCAGTTGTCAAATGTCAGGCCAATGGCTAGATTCTGGGTCCTGACTCCCATTGCATTGGTGTTTCTAGTAAACTCTGGGGTCATCAGAAACAAGGGCTTTGGGGACCCTGGCCCGGGTGAGGAGTGGTGGGCATGTGCCTGCCCAGGCCCAGGTCAAGACCTGCTCTTTGTGAGGCCAGCACTTGTCTGATCACTGCCCAGTACTTACAGGAGTTTTTCAGCTCGCCGTTCAGCCTGGTCGTGGGATAGTTGCTGTCTGCATCCTCATAGTAGCCATCAACAATGGAGTGGGCTGGGCTGCAGCCATCTGTAGGGTTGTCAGAAAGAGCTTTAGAGAAATACAGGCAGACTCCAGCGGTAGGGCTGGGGAAAACCATGGATAACCACATGCCAATTCAGGGAAGACAGTGGGAGCTATAGGCAACTTTTGTCTGAGTGTAGGACCTGGTCTCTTCTTCTTGTCTTTTGCTCCCCACATACCCTCTGTGCTCCTGCCACGAGGACTGGTGGGCCTTGTACTGCTGGGCCCTGTCACACCTCTAGGCCTGTATTCATGCTCTTGCCCGTGCTCTCTTATCTTCTATCACAGCACTCCTAATCATCCTTCAAGACCCAGCACAAAGATCTGTCCTCTCACCTTCCTAGGTAGTGCGTGGCCAGTCTCTAACTTTGACTCTAGGGCATTGGGGGTGTGTGCCCTGGTCTTTGCTCTGCATAGAGTGGTGTTCCAGCTGCCGAGGCTCAGACCTCCTTCTCTGCTCTGCCCTTGCCGCATCTTTCTGCGCCTCATTCCTTCTACTTACTTCCAAATATACCTGCTCCCTCTTCTTATCAAAGTGATTCTCCTCCTGAACTTCTGCGAACACAAAGGAAGGCTTGGACTAGAGGAGAGCAAGATATAGCAAGGGAGCGATTATGTACCCGGAATTCTCAGGGCATATTCCCATTTGGGGTTGGGAGGCAGTGCAGCACAGGGGTTCCTGGGGACACCTTGAACTGTATTCAGCATTCGGGTCACCTGGGGCTTGTTTTAAAATGCAGACCCCCTGGGCTGAATCCCCAGAGATTTGGATCCCTTGGAGTGGGCTGGGCTGAGGAAGCTGCACTAAAAACAAAACAAAAACCTGTGTACAAGTTGATTATCTCTTTTCTGAAGTGCCAGCCATCAGAAGTGTTTCGGATCTTGAAATATTTGCCTATGAATAATGAGATACCTTGGGGATGAGATCCAAGTCTAAACATCAATGTCAAATTCCTGAAGGAATTTTCTTCAGTATTTCTAGTGTACCTCCATTTGGCTGCGCTGTCCCAGGAGGTCAGGTGTGGAATTGTCTACTTTTGGTTGTCATGAAATGCTGAAAAAGTTTTGAATGTGTGGGAGTACCTTGAATTTTGGAATTTCAGATTAGGGAGGCTCAATTTGCAAACAGAAAGTTCTAAACATATGTAAAAATAGAAACAGTATTCAGCTCCAGTGAATTATTCTCCAAATTTATTTTACAAAACTAAATAAGTTTTTTTTTTTTTTTTTTTTTTATAGACAGTCCCTGGAGCACACTTAGAAGTTCGGTTGATTAAAGGCACGTGCTTTCAGCTTGAGTTGAGTTCAGATCCTAACTTTACCATTTACCCAGTAACCTTAGGAAAGAAAATGCAGTTTCTCGTATTTCAGATTGTTCAGTGAACAGCGCTGACCTTGGGTTAGTAATTTAATGCAGATAAATTCATAGTACTACGTGGCACACAGAATGTGCTGGACAAATGCCAGCTATCATGAGTAGTGTCTCCTTGGAGTCCCACAGTGCTGGGAGGTAGGACTTAGACCCATTTTACAGATGAGGAGACAAGCCTCACACAATTTGCAAGTGGCAGAGCCTGAGTCAGAACCAAGGTCCTCAGCTCCGATGCACGTCCCCTGCTCCAGGAAGCCTGCCTTCACCACTGGCTGTCACACCACACTGTTCTTCAGCACTCTTTGCTGGCCTCACAGAGGACCACAGCAGTGGTGACGGGGATACCAGCTCTACGTCCTAAGCGAGGCTCAGGGCCCGCCTTTCCCAGCAGGCTCTCTGGGGTCTCAGAAGGTGGCCATCACCCTGTGAGGTAGATAGTTTTCAAGGGTGGGGGCAGTGGGGAAGAGGGTGGGGCCCAGGACAAGGCGCTCGGACACCTGGCAGGGCTGGGCGCTCCGTGTGAGAGGAAGGATACTCCCCAGTGGGCTTGGCAGCTGTCCCTGGATGGAATCCCAGCACTTCCTGAGGCCCTCCCTTCCCTCCTGCCCTAGGATCCCAGCTGTTCCCGGAGGAGGCCTCTCTGCCTGTCTGAGAGGGAAGTGGACTGTCTGGGAAGGTGGAGGAGCCTCCCCTAGCCCAGGGCTTCACAGGGATGTAGGGCCCAGAAGCACCCCATTCCCCGCCTTTGAGTAGATAGAATCGAACTGCCTGCTTCAGTTTCGAAGAACTGTTTGCAGGGACACAGAAGCATGACTGTGAGGGCTGAAGGGGGCTCTGCTGGTCCAACCCCACCACAGCCACATTTCAGAAACAAGTCCACGGTCCACTAGCAAATGAGTGGACAAGCCCAACATGGGACATCCATGCAGTGGGACATTACTTGGCCATAAAAAGGAATAGTTCTGCTAGTGTTACAGCACATGAAGCTACATCAAAGAAGCCAGCCACAGAAGGCCACATATGGTACTTTTCTGTCACGTCCAGAACAGGCAATACTGTGGAGACAAAGTGGACTGGTGGTCAGCAGAGGCTGTGGTAGTGACTTCTCATTGGTTTTCAGGGGTTCCTTTTGGGGTGATGGAAATGATTGGGAACTGAACAGTAGTGTTGGCTGCACACCACTGTGAATGTACTAAATGCCACTGACTAGACACTTTAAAACAGTAGAAATGGTCAATCTCACATGTATTTTATTGCAATAAAATAATTCACCCGTAATAAAAAATTCATTTCCCACAAGAAAATCCTGATGATAGTTTCTTGCCTATCCTAGAGAAATGACTAAAATGAACATGTACATGTGTGTTTGTATATCCTACTAGAAAAAAACCCAAATGGAATCATGTTATAGGCAGTATATTGTGTTTGGTTTTTTTAAATGACTCTATCTTGGAATTCATGTCCAATCAGCATAAATTGGTTTTATTTGTTTTCTGGTGGTTGGAGAACATTCCACAGTGCTACTGAATGGTGGGTAGCATCACGCAGACATTATCTCATGCAAATAGACTACATGTGCTGGTCATCCAAAAACCACAATACAGTTTCTTGCAGGGGATGTGAAGTCCCTGCCCCCAAGCCAGTCACCTCTTCTGGTCCTCAAAGGAACAACCCTGGCGACAAGGAGGAAGGTCAGGGTTCTTCTTTGTGGCCAGCTTAAGAGATTTTCCAAGACAGTTTGTACCAGTGTCTTCTAAATGATTTTATTGTGCCTTCTAAGCAGTAAAAACATGTCCATGTAGTATATTTGTGTTTTCTTACGTATGTATAAATTGTATATGTATATATAAAGTATAAGTGCTGTGCTATTAGATTAGAAATGCTAAAAATATTCACACAACATTTTTGTAAATATGTGTGAAAGTAAATGTTGATAAAGCTTCTTGTGTTTCTGCCGACATCATTTTGGGGTGCCTGCATCCTACTATAAAGGCCTCTGCTGTAGTCCTTTTTTATTTCAAGTGTTAACTTGCAAATCTGATTTCCCTGTAGGATGTTTGTGCTTCTCTTCTGTCATCATCTGCTACAGAGGTGCACTTGGGTTAGTATAATGACAGCCCATGGAACAGGGTGTCATGGTGGCCATATAGCACTCCATCCTGGCACATTGATATAAGAGCACCTGGCTCTCAGGAACTGAGGGCCAGGGGGAGTAAGGGGGCTGTCCAAGGCAACCCAGACTGGTACTAAAGGCCAAGCCCCTGACCTCTTGGGACCATACCCATCAGATCCCATGGGCTGGCACTGAAGAGGCCAGGTGCTCAGGGCAGCTGCTCCTCAGCAGGTGGTAGCATGGCTGAGTGGCTGCCAGGCATATAGCTCTAGCTCCAGGAGTACATGAGGGGACCAGAACTTACTGTGGGAGCTGATATACTCAGGGCACTTGCCGGGTCCCAGCGGGAGGGCCTCCTCATAGTATTCCTCAGGCGGAGGCTTGCTGGGGAGTGGCGGAGGCAGCTCACCTGCCTGCAGAGGGACAAAGGTGTGTAAGACCAACAAGCTAGGGGAGGAGCAGAGGGCTGCAGGCAGGAGGGAGGCGGGAGCTCCTGGAAGGCAGGAGGCAGTCTGAGTGTAAAGCCACAACTTAAGAGTTGCATTACTAGCTAGACAGGAGAGTCTAGGTGTCCCGTGTGTGTTACCCATGTCTCTTAAGGGTCAGGGCCCCTCTGTTGTGTCTAAGGGTTTCGCAGCTATGGAGCAGTAGCAGTTATACTCATTGCTGGAGCACGTGCAGACTCATCAGGCCTCTGTGAGTTCTGCAGTCCTTAGCAGTCCAGCAGCAAGAGCTCAGACTCTGGGGAAGCCTGGCTTTATAACTACATTCTGTCACTTCCTAGCTATGGGACATTAGGTGTATTGCCACTCTCTCTGAGCCTCAGTCCTCTCATCTGTGGAATGGGGAAAACAATTGTGCCAACCTCATTTGGTTGCTGTGGGCATGCAAAGGACACAATGAGCTGTCAGTAATTGGTGCTGTTGATAGCAATGATGATGATGATGATGAGCTGTGCAGTTGATGAGCTGTGCCTCTGGTGGCCATGGGCCCCTTTTCCCAATTCCATGGCCTCAAGATTGGGAACCCCAGATCTGGTCCAATCCTTCCTCTGTAGGTAAAAAACTCAGGCTCCAAACTGGGAAGTAATTTGCCCAAGGCCATGGAGCAGAGTAGTGGGGAGGGTAGAGACCCCCAGCTCCTTGTGCAGAGCTTTCCCACAGTGCCCATGTGTTGTACCTAGCTCTGAGGCTAGGTGGTGACAGCCTTTGGGCCTGAGAGGCAGATAAGTTCTCTACACTCTCCCTGCTCTGCACCACAACAGAGCACATCAAGAGCCACTGAAATGCCCCCTGTGACCCTGTTTCTGTCCCCAACCACCTCCAAGAGACAGAACAGATCCCTGCACAACCAGGAGGGTCAGAGGGCCTGCAGGCATGGGGACCCAAGCCACAACTCACATTCTGTAGAGATGGGCTCTTGGCTGGCTCAGGGCTGGCTTCTTTGCTGGCCTCCCCGTCGTCCTCTGGCATGTCCCGAAGGTCACTCAGGTCACAGTCTATGGAAGGTCAGACCATGAGGCAAAAAAGACACAGATGTGCATGGCAGAGGGAAAAAGAGCTGGGTTGGGGTTAGGAGCTTGCAGATGAGGTCAGGCCCCACCATCTCCTCCATTAGTAACATGAGCAAGTGATCCAATCCCTCTGCACAAAGAAGTCCCAAGAGTCCCCTCTCCGTCTGTCTCCCAGGCTTCTTGAGAGCACGGAAGAAGACAGTATTTGTCAGGTTGCTTTGGTTGTGCTACACAGGTACAATCTCTACAAATCTCTAACCTAAGTTATAGCTCTCCCAGTGTTGAGTAGGGCTGTCCCTCTCCAGGATGCTCCCATGCCCAAGGCAGCCACTGCTCCTCTGTCACAGCTCTCATTTGAGCTGTGGGACTATGCAACCCAGGGACTATGCAACTATGAGGAGACTGGAGGATGGGAGTGGCAAGTGTTCTTTCTCTTGTGCAGGGCCCTCTTTGGATTGCACATTCATCTGCACTGTCCATAAAATCTCTGGGATGACTTCTTATCACGCAGATTGTGCATAGACTTCCAGAGCTGGCAAGGGCCAGACAGGCCAAAGGACTGCCCAAAGTGACTGAGATACAATGTTAGAACCAGGCCTTGCCTATCTGGTGGCCTTCCATAGTCTGGGGCAGTGTACATACACATTGGGAGAGGGAGATTCTCACAGCTGAGGTGAGGACAGGGTCACTTACCAAATTCTTCAAAGAGGGACTCCACAAAGCTGGGCCCAGAGTGGAGGTCTGCGGTATTCACGTACAGGTAGGAGACTTCCTTGGCTATCAGGAGGAGGAGGACACAGCAGCAGTGAGGAAGGAAGGAAACAGGTCTCCTCTTCTCCTCTGCCCTCCTTGGCACTTCCATCCCAGTTTATATCCCAAGTTATCTCATGGTTTTCGAACTTTGTTTTCTTTTTCCATTGCTATTGAAGATAGCAATGTCTCTAAGGAAAAGGATGTCTGAGGGCTGCTCTGGGGACAGTCAGGGGACAGGGGCTCAAGCAAGCACAGTTAGAAAACTGCTGTCCCATTTCATCGTTCCAGCAGTCTTGGAGGGCAGCAGGTGACATCAACTTTGTTTTGTCTCTGGGAAGGGAGGCTCAGTCACCCACCATATGGCTTCCTACAATGGCCTTCGGACTCCATGAACCCTGCAGAACACATTATGTCCCATTAACTGAGTAGGGGAAGAGGCTAGAGTAGATGAAGGGGACTTGCTGCTGGGCCCACAATAAAGGGCAGAGACCTGAGGCTTAAGTGGAAGAGAGGGGCAAGGAACAAGATGCAGGGGAGGAGTCCATCTCAGAAGGATGAGTGAGTGTGTGTGTATCAGATGGGGTGTTGGGAGCGTTTGTGTAGGAGTGTGATGTTTCTGTTTGTGTGTGTGCTCTGGAGAGGGCTGGGGCAGAGTGGAGGCATACAAACAGCACAGGCAGGATGTGGTGGAACAGGAGGCCCACATGGATGGGGAGTTGGACCACAGAGCGAGACATGCAGATGCTACCATAATAGAGGCTCCCGTGACTGCCTGCCACAGGACCTGGGGAGTTACTGAAGGTTCTGGAGGAGGGTCATGGAGGCTTTCCTGCCTGTCAAGGTGGAGCTCCTCCAGGCAGAGTGCCGATGGCTGACCTGGGAGGGGCTGCAGGCTCTGTAGGATGGAGGCCACAGCCATCTTCTTCTCCAGGGTGGTGTCGCTGAGGTACTCGTGGTCCAGGAGGCTGAGCAGCCCTGTGAGCTCTGGGAGCAGCTGCTCCAGCACTGGGGAAGAGGGCCAAGGAGCACAGTCACAGCTCTGTGTTGGGGACCCTGTGTCCTCCCCACCCACTAGAGGCCAGGAGGCAGGGCTGGGCCCCTGCGCAGCTGTCCCAGCTCTGGCCACTGCCTCCCTTAGGAGGGCCCGCTCAATTAACCTTGTGGCAATCTTCCAGGCCTCCCCACTCTGCCTTAGACCTCAAATGGCCTTTGCTGGAGGACTGGACCTCCCAGGCTTACCCTGGTAACTCTGAGCCCAGGCAGCCTCCAGCAGAGGATCCTAGGCCTCCCTTTGTCCCAGGCTGCCCTCTGCTCTGCAGGCCCGGGGTACTCAGCACAGGTCTCTGGTGGGAGCCCCCAGCTGTCCAGGACACAGGCAGGAAGGGAGCCTTCCTGTCCCATCAGTTCATGCGCTTCAATCTCTGGAACCTTCTGTTTCCGGTGCCTCAGCAAGAGCCAAGCTAAACTTTAACCCTTTCCACCCCATGCCCCAAACTATCATCACCATTCCTTCTTTCCCAGCAACACCAGTGCTTCTCAGACTTGAGCGTGTATGGAAATTACCCAGGGGTCTTATCAGAGTGCAAGTCCTGATTCAGAATCTTTGATTCAGAATTCAGAAGGCCTGGGGGAGGGGACCTGAGATGCTGCATTGCTGCCATGCTCCCAGATCAAAGTCTGCTCTGAGCTGCAAGATCCTAGAGCACAGAATCCTTTAAAGACTGGAGCATGCGAAGACTATGATGTCACTGATGTTACTTGGGACTTGGTTTGCCTTAGAACCGAAGACTAGCTTGGTCACAGGAGCAGCATTGTTCTGCTTTGCAATGTCCTGAGTTCTGGAGCACAGGAAGAAAGCCAGCCTGTGCTGAACCACCTCAGGATCTGTGGGAAGCCTTTTGCATGTGGTTGTCTGATTGAAATCTCCCATGAAGATCTATCTTGTTATCCCCATTAGAGGATGAAACTAAGGCTCCAGGAGATTACAGAGCATATCTGGGGTTACCTGGCTGGCAGAACCTCCACCACATCTGCCTCCTTCATGCTCTTCTATTAATCATGGGGCTATATCACCTCATAGTACCTTACTTGATGCCACCAAGTTTTGAAGTAGGTCTTAGGATCACTTCTACTTTAAGATTTACTCATTCAGAAAGAGAAAGAGATCTCCCACCAGTTCATTTACCCCCCAAAGAGCCACAACAGCCAAATCTGGGATAGGCTGAAGCCAGGAGCCAGGAACCCCATCCAAGTCTCCTACATGGTTGGCAGGGGCCCAAGTACTTGGACTGTCTTCCGCTGCCTTCCCAGATGCATTAGTAGGAAGCTGGATTGGAAATGGAGCTGTTGGGACTGAAATAGGTGCTCTGATAGGGGATGCTGGCGTTGCAAGTGGCAGAGTAACCCACAGTACCACATACTGGCCCTGATCCCTACTTTTTAGCTAAAGAAAGTAAATCTGAGAGAAGATGAGTAACAAGCATAAGGTTACATGGGCAAGTGGAAGAGGCAGGATGTCACCTCTGGTTATGGCTTCTAACTCCATGTGCTCGCCTTGGCCCCAGATCATGCTGTGGAAGCAGGGAGAGCCCTAGCTATTCATCCAGGATCTAAGATGTATCTTAGGGGCTATAACATCATGCAGAAGAGAATGAGCCTGGAGCCAGAAGGCCTGGATTCAAATTCAGGCTCCATCATTAGGTCAGAGTTAGGTGTTTATTTTTTTTTTTTTTTTTTGACAGGCAGAGTGGACAGTGAGAGAGAGAGACAGAGAGAGAAAGGTCTTCCTTTGCCGTTGGTTCACCCTCCAATGGCCGCCGCTGCAGCCGGCGCACCGCGCTGATCTGATGCCAGGAGCCAGGATCCAGGTGCTTTTCCTGGTCTCCCATGGGGTGCAGGGCCCAAGCACCTGGGCCATCCTCCACTGCACTCCCTGGCCATAGCAGAGAGCTGGCCTGGAAGAGGAGCAACCGGGACAGAATCCGGCGCCCCGACCGGGACTAGAACCCGGTGTGCCGGCGCCGCAAGGTGGAGGATTAGCCTATTGAGCCACGGCGCCGGCTTTTTTTTTATTTTTGACAGGCAGAGTGGACAGTGAGAGAGAGAGACAGAGAGAGAAAGGTCTTCCTTTGCCGTTGGATCACCCTCCAATGGCCGCCGCTGCAGCCAGCGCACCGCGCTGATCCGATGGCAGGAGCCAGGATCCAGGTGCTTTTCCTGGTCTCCCATGGGGTGCAGGGCCCAAGCACCTGGGCCATCCTCCACTGCACTCCCTGGCCATAGCAGAGAGCTGGCCTGGAAGAGGGGCAACCGGGACAGAATCCGGCGCCCCGACCGGGACTAGAACCCGGTGTGCCGGCGCCGCAAGGTGGAGGATTAGCCTATTGAGCCACGGCGCCGGCTCAGCGTTAGACCTTCTGCAAGTTACCTGTCAGTGACTTGGTGTTCTCCTCTGTCGAGGAGGGTATAACGCCAGCACCTGCCTCATAGGGATATGTGAAGGTTAATTATAGCAAGCATGAAAAGTGGCCTGGCCAGCTCACTGCTTACTCAGTGGGAGTAAGCTGTCCCTACTGCCACTGGAGAATCTGTCTCATTGGTCTGTGCCAATGTCTGCCAGCATCTGCTTCAGGCTGTGAGGCTCTTGGAGGTGCAGGCTAGACTGCAAGGTGGCTTCCCTGGCATCTACAGTGGGGCCTGCTCAGCCAGCATGGGTGCTCTGCGAGTGCTGGCTGACAGCGGGCATGACCAAGTGCCTGCACTTGGACTTCCTCTTAAATGGACGTCACATGTACAGATTGGGGCACTGTTGGGAGAATGTGATGCTGTACTAAGGCAGGAACTTGATGGCAGTTTCTTATCTAAGCCCCGTGGTATAGCTGAGTGTGTCCCACTGGGATACTGATTTTCCAGGAGACACTGCTGAGGTGGATGGGAGCCATGGAAATGGTTGCACAGCCTGAAGGAGGTGGAGCCTGTTCAATTCCAGTCTGCATGATTTCTAGGCTTTTGTGTTGCACAGCTGTGGGGGTGCAGGTAGGTTAGTGGTGCCTGAGGACCCCCATGCCACTGAAATAAGGGTACAGAATTGGAGGGGGGGCTTCCTTCTTTAAAGCAGGAAGACATGCAAGATCATTTCAGCCAAACTTAGCCATTTTGAAGGAAGTCTTGAAATGGAATCATGAACCTCTCTCCACCTTCCTCAGTTCTCTACATTTACTGAGCACTTAAATGCATATCCTGCTGGCCCCTGTAGGATTAGGAAACAGTGACTGAGGGATGGCCCAGTGGGCACTCTGTCCTCTGTCACACACGTGTGCGTGCTTACTGTGATCACAAGCAAGGACATTGTGAACGCAGAGTTGCGGTGCCACAGAGCAGCACGGGAGCTCTCTGTGGCCCTCAGGTGGGATTCATGCAGGGAAACGGGAGATGCTACTCTGCCCTCGCACAGGGACATCAGGGCGCTGCTGCACTGAGCCATTCATCCCTATGCCAGATGTTCTGAAATCTTTTAGTGTTAGGATCTCTTTATACTTTTTTTTGGATATCTTTATACTTTTTAAAATTATTGGGGCCAGTGCTGTGGTGCAGGAGGTTAATCCTCCGCCTGTGGAGCCAGCATCCCATATGGGCACTGGTTCTAGTCCCGGCTGCTCCTCTATTGATCCAGCTCTCTGCTGATGGCCTGGGAAAGCAGTAGAAGATGGCCCAAGTCCTTGGGCCCCTGCACCCACGTGGGGCACCTGGAGGAAGCTCCTGGCTCCTGGCTTTGGATCGGCGCAGTTCCGGCCATTGCCGCCGTTTAGGGAGTGAACCAGCAGATGGAAGACTTTTCTCTCTGTCTCTACCTTTCACTGTCTGTAACTCTAGCTGTCAAATAAATAAAATAAAATATTAAAAAATTTTTGAGGACCTCAAAGAAGTTTGGTTTTATGCAGGTTGTATCTGTCAATATTTACTGCACTCATATTAAAAACAGAAATTCTTCAAACACAAAAGCACACACTCAGCCCACCAGCCTGCAGAACCACCACCGCATCAGGCACTGCTGGAGAACTCCACTGTCCACTGTGGATAAGGATATTGAAAAGGCAGGGATACCTCTCAGTGCTGTATAAAAGCAGATTTGACTTTACAGATCCCCAGAAGAATCTTGGGCGCCCCTTCAATAAATGACTTCTGATTGTTAAGCCTTTTGGGGTTTCTTAAATACTAAGTAGTCCTTCCTTTCTTCCTCTCTCCCTCTTTTTCTTCCTCCCTCCTTCTCCCCCCACCCTTTTCTGTCTGCTATCAGCTAGTGCCTAAGTGCAGCAGCATTCCAAAATGCTATACTGTTTTGAATATTAGGTTTGTAACAGTTGTTTGTAAAGTTAAGAAAAATTAAGTTCTGCTTAAGTTCTCTGCATTTGAAAACATGAGGGTTGGTATCAAGCTCATAATCTTGTTTTTCTTTCCTGTTCTTTGATGGGATTCTTAACAAGGGACCTGGACTTCTAAGTGTTTGATGGGATTCTTAACAAGGGACCTGGACTTCTAAGTGCTTTTCATTTGAGTGAGATATGATTTCCGAAGACCAAACTGACCCTAGGAGAAGAAAGCCATGAGTGAATTTTGGGGGAGCAGATGGAGCGTTCAGGGACTGCCATCCTGGTGCTGGCTTCTGTAGCCTAGAAGGGACCGGCAGGCCACAGGGCCAGAGGGAGTCTGAGCCATGGGCCAGAGCTTAGCTTGCAGTGAACATGCAAGATCCTTCCCTAGAGCTGGGAAGTTACCGTGAGCTGGGCAGCTGTGCACATGATCTCATTTAATCCTCCAGTGCCTACGAAAAAGGAAATGGAGGTTCTGAGGAGTGAAGTTACTCAGTTTGTAGGTTGTAAGGTCATGCCTTGAACTCAGCTTTGACTTTGAACTTGGATCCCTGTGCCTGAATCCTCCACTGGAAGAATTCAGCTAAGTTCAGCACAGTGTAGGACAGGAGCAGGCTGGGGAAGACAGGTGGGCAG